GAATTATATTTGTATAGTAGGTAGAAGAATTATTTGTATAGTAGGTATATATTATATTTTCTAAAATAATTCATTTTGCAAATAATATCAACTAAGCTACTAATATAATAAAATCTATAAATCAGCCTTATAAATAATGTATTTAACAAATGTTTCTTATTATATTAATAATTTAAATGTTTTCTGACTTATCTGTGAATGAAACGTGGAAAAAATAGTTTTACTTACAAGTTTTTCCTGATTTTGTTGCTGTCTGCTGTTGTAGTGATCTGATAATTTGTAGACTGTATAATTGTTTACAGAAAGATATTTCCTTGGGTGCCCTCTTTTCAGCATATAATAAATAAAGCAAGAAGATGACTTAATATTTTATTTTGTACAAATATATAAAATATATTTACACCATTTAACGTATAATAGTATTTTGCAATTTTTACAATACGAATGGCTCTTATTCGTAACTTATGCTATTGGTTTAAGAGAATGAAATTCAGAATTATTTCGGTCTATATATATTGACTGAAACTCAAAAAGATATTCTTATAGAAATAATATTTTAAAAACTGAGGGAACAGAGCCAAAGTGTTTTGTTACTATCCGGCTTTGATTGGTCCGAATTTCATGATGGCTGCCGTTGAATGGTGTTATCATATTTTGTTGTTGCTAACTTTGAGATATAAATACATATATTTTCTTTTTTTTTTTTGATGTCAACGATTTTAAAAAGAGTTTTTGCTCTTAAAATAAGTGAATATATTATAGAAGGACAAACAAACGCCAAAATTGGCATAATATATTATGAACAGGGCCGGTTTATGCAGTGAACACCCAGTTAAATTTCATAATAACACATTATTTTAATATTACATAAATAACAAAAATATAAATTTAATTTTAATATCTTTATTTTCATACGTGTTAATCTATATTTTTTTGTACATCATTGTCCTCTGGCTGATCGCGTCTCCGTGTCACAGTATACCTAAGTATACTGTGTCTGTGGTGCATTATGATGAGTGAGCCTAACACGAGTGAGACGATATGCCGAATGCATATAGCTAAAAAGAGAAGACAACACGCCAACATATCCTGCAAACTGTCAAAGAACACATTAATTGGTGCGCCGCTCACAAACACAAAAGTCAGTTTACTAACTAATGTTTATAGATGGTTTTCAACGTATTAAAAACAAAACAAATATCACACTAACTAAAATATTAATTTATTAATAGTTGTAGTGCTTGAAAACAGTATGATGTTGATAATAATAACTACACACTTAATACAAATAATAATAAAAAAAAACAGCGATATTGGCTCTTGTACAAAGTTTTGATCCGAACTTACATATAATAATATTATTGGAAAAAGTGAACACCCATTTTAAATTACGACAAGCCGCCATTGATTATGAACCCTGTACATCAAATTTTTTTTTTTTATTTTTAGATATGATGTAAATGTATCACAAATTATAAAATAATTTAATTTTGTTTTTGTGAAGAGCAGAGGGCGTTTGACTAAACAGCTCGATATTATTTTTTACAAAGTAGGCATAGGAAATGTATTTAAAATGATCGGTTATTATTTTTTGGTAACTTAATTGGACCCAGTACTACAAATAAATTAGTCACAGAAGACCTGCAAATAAATATAGGTATTATAGCGTTTTAACAGTACCTAGATTAAAACAAAAAATATTTAAGAAAATACTTTTAGAATAAATAGCGGCTTTGTAGAAACATCTTACTATTAATGTTATTTGACTTTTGGGAGGTAATTATTTTTGTTTTTTATTTTTTAATTTTTGAATAGCTTCTAAGATGTAATCAGGTTCTTTTAATGACATTCCCCGATTATGCCTTGGATCTACCAATTCTGGCAACATTCAGATTATATAAAACTTTTTTAATTTCTCCTCCATATTTTTACACCAGAAATCATCTCTTTTTATTATATATTCCACTTTAATTGGGACCTGTCCATACACCAAAAATACATCCTTTTCGTCCTGTAATATGTAATTGGCCTTGTATTTGATAATACCATTGATGGTAGATATTAATGTCAAAATTATTGGTGTCTTTATTAAAAATCCAAAAGAGTATTTTTTTCAGTTTAATCGCCTCTTCTACCTGCATTTGATATGCAGCGTATGGACATTTTATTTCAACCACTAATTCATCTCCTACAATGGCGTCTGGAATAGCACCTACAAATTTAAAAATTATTATTTTGATTCAAAATGAATTAATTTGCAATATGTTATAGTTGAGATGTGAGTAAAAATGTGAACTGATCGTTATGTACCTAAATATGGATATTTTCACTATATTTTCCTGCTCTTGAAGCTGCAAAAGTGCCGTTTTTTTCATACTTTTTGCCATGAGAAATAGGAGCAGCATTGACTGGTGGTTGGTAAATAATCCTTTTGACTAAAGGCTCACATAAAGTAGTAATTCGTCTAGTACACACTGCTTTAAAGTGTGAGGCCGTAATCATTTTTCTACGAATTTCAATCCAAACCCTGCTATCCGTTTGTGACATAGTTTGTTCCTGAATTACATTTCTCTTAACGTCAGATGAAGGGAATTCGTTTAAAAATTTAAGTTTTTTTACTTCATAAATATCTTGATCTAAATCCTTTTTGGTACAATTTTCTCTATAAGCTAAATTGGGTGCTATGATTGAACGTTTACGTTATCCGTAACATAAATGTTAGACCGAGTTTTAACAGTAACGAAGCAAGTTTGTGTGATGGAAATCTGTTAAATTAGAATATAATAAGCGGAAAATAACAGTAATGTGTTGGAAAAAGTTTTCCATCATACGAACTTGCCTCGTTAATGTTAAAACTCGGCCTAACATGTACGTTACGGATAACGTAAACGTTCAATCATATGACCCATTGGGTCGTATGTTGTTCCAGCGTCCAATGATTTTGGGCAGAGTCAGAACATCTGGGGGGTACTTTATAGGTGGTCATTTTTATATTTTATGAAATATATCAGTTATTTACGTTTGGGGAAGAAAATTCTTCAAATAAAAGTTACTTCTTATATTATTATCTATACAAAATTTTCCTAAAATAGTCCGTATTCGAGAAATTTGACAAAATGTAAAAAAATATTTTTTTATAAAAATTGTTCAAACAAAAGTTATTTGTAATATAATTCTCTATAATTTTTATTCTATACATTTTTTCTCTAAAATGAACCGTATTCGAGATATTTGAGAAAATGTGTAAATTTTGAAATTTGAAGAAAACTCAAAAACGGATAAAGAAACAAATATTAAATTTTAAACTTAAGTCTTATTTCGGCCTGACGTGAAATGATTAGATTTTGGACAAAGTCGGAAATTCTGGGGGGGGGGGGTACTTTATGGTAGGCCGATTTTATATTTTATGGAATATATTTGTTATTTATGTTTGGAGAAAAAAATTGTTCAAATAAAAGTTACTTCCAATATTATTATCTATAATTTTTGTTCTATGTCAAAATTTCCTGAAATGGTCTGTATTCGAGAAATTTGACAAAATGTGAAAAATTCTGATTATGAAAATTGTTGAACTAAAAGTTGTTTGCGATATCGATCTCTATAATTTTTGTTTATAGATGATTTTTCTAAAATGGACCGTAATGGAAAAATTGTAGGAAAAGTGCTAAATTTAAATTTTTCAGTATTTTCGTTTTCAATGAATATCTATAGAAAAATGTTTTGACGTAGATGTATGTGGAAAATGTATATATTTAGTTTATCCTCTAAACATTTATAGAGGTGCTGCAATAGGTTGTACAAAATAACCGGAAAAAGTTTATAATAACTAGATAGAAAAGTCATGTGTTGGTCACATCAGATTTTTTTTAGTTTTAGCTATTGACGAACTTTAGTATTTGTAATAAAAAAATTGGAAATATTTAGTTTTTCTTTCCAAACCTTCGATATTCCATACAGCACACATTATTTCAGAAGTGTTTCAGAAATATTTCAAACATATAACATTTCAAGCAAGTTTCTGAAATATTTTAGTTAAATATTTCACTGAAAATGTTTCTGAAACAAGGTATCATCGTATACACATTACACAAAAGGTTACTAAATGGGTTATATTGTAAAAGGCCAACACTTAATGAAGCATTTCTGATTTATAAGAAGATGGGATATGTAGTTATTTTATTTCATCCATGGAGGATTTCATCCTATGCATAGACCATATATCAGCTCCCCATTTTGAAACCAGTTAAAATATCGAATTGCTGTTTTAAACATACATTTTTATCACTGTTTTGTACGATCTATGTGAATTTGAAAATTCGACTTTATCATTTCGACATTTTGAAACCAGTAAAGATGCTGAATTCGACGGATTCAATGAAAACTGTAGTAATTCAATTTTTGTTCATTTTGAGATACGTGTTTAGAATTTTAAATTATTCTGTTATATGCCAACGAATAAAGTCGTAATTCATATTATCATTTAAATAAGCAACCCGCAATACACCTAAGATATGCAGCAGAAAGTTAATTTTAAAATTTTGTCACCCAGTATAAATAATGAGTTACACTAGTTTTCGTTGCACCCATCGAATTTCTGTTTTCAACCTAATATTTGTACCACTGTTTTATATGATCTTTATGGATTTGAAATTTTTTTTACCAGCTCGTCATTTTCTAACCAGTAAAGATATTGCTGTTTTCAACCTAATATTTTTAACAGTGTTTTGTAAGATCTCTGTGAATTTAAGCACTGATTTTAACTTAGTGAATTTTTAAAGATGGTCGTGTCGCAGTTCTAGAAACTTAAAATTCGACTTTACCAGCTTGCCATTTTGAAACCAGTAAAGACAACTGCTGGTTTTTGGACTCATGTATTGCCACTAAATAAAAAACAACAAACTTTAAAATAGAACCAATTTAATTATACAAAAATACGAAGGACGAAACACTAAATACATATCAGAAAAACAAAATAATACATATATTGTAAGACTCATCAGACTTGCAGCTAAAATCAATCGTTTAACGATTTTACACCCACGGAGACCATCCACCGTACATTCTACCTAACAAATTATAATCGGTAGCGTGGTCTATCAAGCAATCTACTTGTTCTTCGACGCTTAAATCTGCTCGTCCAATCAAATCGCTTCTAAAATTAACTCCGGTTTCGCCCTTGACGTGTCTCAAGTACGCCTGCGTGTACGCTTCATTTCTACATCCGTCTGTCAATTCTTCCATCATAATATCCACGGAATTAGCACCTGCCAGCTTACGACGCGCCTGTTCGATTTTCACCACCGGATACCAACTGTCACTCTGGTTGGCATCCGGCGTTTCGCCGTCTTCTGTCACACCGGAGTGCTCCAACCAATCTAGCGAAGGTTCTTGAATGAATACGTTCATCGTGGCAAGCAAAGACGGATTTTTATCTCTCAAACAACGCAAACAGTGTATCATATACTCTCTGAATGGTCCTCTCTCTTTTAGCGGTTCCATCAAATTGACCAGATGCGGCGTGAGTCTGAACGGGACCAATTCGGGCACTTGTTGAATCTGAGTAGCCGTGCCGAACGCGTGGCCAAAATCTATGCCTAAAACTTTGCCGTTTCTTAGGCTGATCAGGCTGTTGCTTAAATGTCGATCGCCTATGCCTAAAATCCAATGCGTAGCGCAGATTACAGAGTACGTTTTTATAAAATTGTTGCGTAATGCTATGTAGTTTTCCGTACTATTGCTTAAAGACCAAAAAGATGTCCTGAAACGATAAAAATCAATGTGATGTTGACAATTATTAAATTTTAACAGCTTTAATGCTATATACTAACCTCAAAATGTTCGCCGATACTTTTCTGACCAATGTCGAATAAATGTCGACGATTCTTTCTTTGTTGATATTAACGGCGGCTTTCCCGTACGAGTTAAAACAATTACGGTTATCTATCCTTAATTTTTTATCGTATTCATCGCGAAGGTCATCATATTGCTTTAGTTCCCTATCGTTCTTCAAAGATTTTTTAAGAAAATCGGTCAACGGTCGCGTATGGTCGATCCATTGTATCAATCCTAAATTTGAGGTTAAGGGAATCACCTAAAACAATTTTTTTTGTAATTAATACTGAAATTATAGTTGGGGTTTAAAATTTACCTGGTATGTCAGAATTTCTAAGCCGTTACTTGAACAAGAATGATCGTTTCTTAAAAAGACGTTCATCAGACAAAATAATTGTTCGATTCTCTGATCCTGACGAATATCTTCGCCGAATTTTAATAAAAATGGATATTCTTTGGTGTTCATGCCTAATATTGTGAGTTTCATCGGTTTACGGATAGACTCCATGATGTTAACCTAAAAAAATTTCATTGTTGACAGATGCCGTTTAAGTATAGCGAAGATATTGGTGTTTACAAGAAATCATTAAAAAACGGTTAACTCCTGTTTTTATATAAATAAATTTTTAAAGTGGGCTATGTGTTATCTCACATTTCTAGGAACTTAAAATTAGACTTTATCAGCACACTATTTTTAAAAAAGTAAATATATCGAATTGCTGTCTTTAACAAAATCTTTCAACTATTTTGCACAATCACTATGAATTTGAGATTTTTTAAAGAACTGATTTTAATGTAATGAATTTTTTAAAGACAAGTTGTGTCACATTAAAAAAAAAAACAAAATTTGACTTTATCAGCACACCATTTTGAAACCAGTACACATATCGAATTGCTGTTTTCAACCAAATATTTCTCCCACTGTTTTGTACGATTTCTGTAAATATGATTTTTTTTAACTGGTTTTAATTTAGAAATTTTTAAAGACGGTTGTGTTACTTTTCTAAAAAAAAAACAAAATTTGACTTTATCAGCTCGCCATTTTAAAACCAGTAAACATATCAAATTGCTGTCTTCAACGAACTATTTCAACAACTGTTTTGTACAATTTCTGTGAGTTTGGGATTTTTTAAAGAAATGATTTTATCTTAGTGAATATTTAAAGACGGTTCTGTCACACTTCTAAAAACACAAAATTCAACTTTATCAACTCGTCATTTTAAAACCAGTAACGATATAGAATTGTTGTCTTCAACTAAATATTTTTGAAACTGTTTTGTACAATCTCTGTATATTTGAGATTTTTTAAAGAACTGGTTTTAACATACCTAGTTCATTTTTAAAAACGGTTGTGTCACATTTCTAGAAACACTTTATCAACTCACCACTTTAAAACTAGTAAACATCAAATTGCTGTCTTCAAATAAATATTTCTACAATTGTTTTGTATCATCTTTGCGAATTTGAGATTTTTTAAAGAAATGATTTTAACTTAGTGGCTTTTTAAAGACAACTGTGTCACATTTATAGAAACCTAAAATTCGATTTTATCAGCTCGCTATTTTTAAGTCAGTAAATATATCGAATTAATGTCTTCAAATAAATATTTCTGCAACTATTTTGTACAATCTCTGTGAATTTGAGATTTTTAAAGAACTGATTTTAACTTGTGACTTTTTAAAGACAACTGTGTCACATTTCGACTTTATCAACTCGCTATTTTGAAACCAGTAAAGATATCAAATTGCTGTATTCAACTAAATATTTTTATATCTGTTTTGTACGATCTCTATCAATTTAAAATTTGTTTAAGAAAATTTACTCAGCGAATTTTTAAAGAGGCTAGGAAAAACTTACTTCAGGACAAAATCCAGATATTTTAACGTGGTGTTGAGGCAGCGGCAACTTTTGCCCGTCATACTGGCCAGGTATCTCGAGATCCATATTCAATTTATTCGCCGAAAAATTTGCTATCCAAGGAGAATAATCCTTCAACATTAACGAATTGTTTCGTTTATCATTTAACATATTGACAAATTCTCCATTCAATCTCATATACAGTTCTTTAATTTTTGGAGCAGTCATACCTAAAAATTAATTTTATATGGAAAAATAATTTCGGAAATCTGTATAATGCTTTGAAGTGGCCATATAATAATTATTATTTATTCTTATATTTGGCAACGCCTCAAAATGCCCAACTTCGAGTCTAATGTATTAAGATCCAAGTGATTCCCTCTTCTATTCACTCCGCATATGAACTTGATGGCTTCAGCTATATCTGTCATACTATAAATTTAAATTCTTACCTTTTCCAGTAAATTTGACGAACTCCCTTTTGTATTTTTCGATTTTCTTGAACATGTTTCCTTGCAGATTAGCCACGTTTCCTGTACCGCACTTTTCCTCAAATATATCTGTTTCTATTGCTTTAACATACTTTTTGATTGTCTCCGGATTTTGGGATTTGAAAATTTTAGCGACCCAGTATTTTAGAATGGCCGCAGGTACGCAAACGTAGGACAAAGCTTTCAAAAACTTTTCGATTTTCTCGTCTTTCAACAGCAAATCGTCCAGCCTAAAACATTTTCAGATATCTCAGAGCAATAGAGGAGCGTGGACAGCGAAATGTTGGGTTATTCAACTCGCTTATCTAAGATTGTCTTTTCTCAAATGTAGAATGACATTTATTTCTAAACTAAGCCTTGAACGTTTCTAGAACGAAATTAAATTTGTCTAGGATAAGATTATTCTGAGATAAAATTGTCTAGCATGACTTTGCACGTTTTAAAAACAACCTTTCATGTTTTCAAGATGACCTTGAACATTTCTATAGCCTTCAAATCAAAACCATTACCTTAATTCATCCTAGAATGACCTTGAATTGTTGTAAATTGCCTTATTTTTTTTTTAATTGCCTTGTACTTTTTTCAATGCTCTTCATACCAAAATACTAACTTTAAACCATACTTAATTAACCTTGACATTTTTTAAATGACCTTTAACTTTTTGAAATGAGTTTAAACTTTTAGATAACACTAAATTGTCATTAATAACCTTGAACTTTTCAAATAAGCTTAACCTTTTTTAAAATAACCTAGAACTTTTTGACATGATTTAAAACATTTTAAGTAGTAGCTTTAACTTTTTAAGTAACTTTAACCATTTAAAAATTCCCTTGAAGTAACTTTAAACTTTTTTAAAAAGAAAATTTAAGAGTTTTGAAATGAATATGATTTTTTTTTAAATAAGTAGAAATTATTTTTTTAAATAATCTTAATATTTTTAAAATAACCTTAAGTTGACTCCAAACTTTTCTGACGTTAAATGACCTTGAATTTTTTTAAATGACCTTGAACTTCTTAATGAACCATAATTTTTTAAATGATTTAAAACTTTTAAAATAACATTCTAATTTAAAAACAACCATTTTAAAATTACCCTGAAATTTTAAATATTCCTTAATTTTTTAAATGACTGAGCTTTTTAAATGACTGAGCTTTTTAAATAACCTTAATCTTTTTAAAATGACCTTTAATTTTTTTAATAACTTGACATTACACTTTTTTAACGACTTTGAAATTTTTAAATTCTGAACTTATTTAATCGACCTTGAACTTTTTATTTAAATAACCTTAATAATTTTAAAATGACCTGGAACTTTTTTAAATTAACTAGAACTTTTAAAGTAACTTTGAACATTTTGAATAAACCAAGAGTTTTAAATGATTTTGAACTATTTAAAAATAATCCTATCTAAATGATCTAAAAATGTTTAAGTAGGTAACTTTAAACTTTTTTAAATGAACTTAATTTTTTTAAATAAGTCGAGAGTTTTTAAAAGTAATTTTGAACTTTTTAAATAATAAGCCAATTCTCTTGAACTTTTCAAAATGACCTTTAAAATAATCATTTTAAAATTACGTTTTAAATGAACTAGAATTTTTAAGTGACTTTAACTTTTTTAAATGAACTTTTTAAATAAGCCAAGAGTTTTTAAATAAGTCGAGTTTATGAAGATTTTAAACAAGTTGCGTTGTTATTTAATGACTGAAATTTTTAAAATGATCTCAAGCGTTTTTTTTAAATAACTCTGAACTCATTTAAACGATCTTGAACTATTTAAAAAACTTTAATTTTAAAATAACCTTAAACTTTTTAAATGACCTAAAAATTTTAAATTTTAAAGTAACTTTGAACTTTTTAAATAAGCCAATAATCCTAAACTTTTTAAAATGACCTTGAACGTTTTAAAATGACCTTCAAGTTTTTAAAATGACATTCAACTTTTTAAAATAAGTAACCCTAGATTTTTTATCTTGATATTTTTTAAATGGTCTTGAACTTTTTTTATGAACTAGAACTTTTTAAACAATCCAATATTTTTTAAGACCTTGAACTGTTTTAGAATGTCATTGTTTTTTTTTTTAAAGCAAATTTTCATTACGTGGAAAATTTACTGGTCATTATCCCTTAATGATCCGTAAATTTTGCAGCAACTAAGATATACAATTTCGAAAATATTTCTAACCTGTCCGTCAGTTTTTTAGCTTCGGAAGCGACGTTGCCGTCATTAAAATTGTAGTTTTCTTTGCTCAATCTATATGGGTACATAATGGCTTGTGGATAGGTTTCCGCTATCCTTAATATAATTTTAGACAGAGCAAAAATTTTTGGAGAATCGACGTTGGCCAGTAATTGAGGTATCCAGCCCAAAAACATCCACGTCGGAATGTTGTCCACCTAAAATAATGGGTTTTCTAACAATCTCAGTTAATTAAAAAAAAAAAAAATCCTCAGATCTGCGGAAATTTCGGAATCACGTGACTGGAATACAGCGTTATTTTTGGTTAATTAGAAAATTTTGACGTAAAAATTCCCTAGATCTGGGGATTTTTATTGTAAATTGGCTACGAACCTCTGTTATAAACGTATCTTTATAAATTCCGCTCAAGTCATTCTGCATCAATATACAGGGGAACAGCTGCCTGGCTTCGGATGAATTTAGTCTCATAGCTCGTAAAACGAACAAAATAAAATCGCCCTGTAGACTTTCGTCGCCTTTTCCTCGAATAAAATGAGCCAATTTTATATAAGCATCGGATATATTTTTAAATTTTTTTATTGTTTCGAAATTATCGCTATCCGTATCCATAGAGTCGGTATTGCAGTTTTCTACGGCCGATTTTAGTACATTAAATGCGTGTTTTTCGATATCCGACGCTGAATTTTTAATTCCATCGGTAAATGCAGCAAGTTTTTCTCGGAATTCGGTCAGGAGATCGTTATTGTTGGATACAATACTGGAAATGTTCATAAGGACGTCAAATCGTTTCGTGCTGGCTTTTAAAGCTTCCGAATTTGTAATGTGTGCTAAAATAAATTTAAAAAACGCTATATTTTTGGAGATAATCCGCGTGGAGTTACTTACAAAATACTTCAACGGCATCCAACAAGAAATTTAATTTATCCGATGGGTTCTCCATCATTTGGGTTTTTAAAAACACCCCTGTACCTTTAGCCAGACTCAATTTGTCATTCTCTCTCTCCATGTATGGTTTTAGATACTTCCTGGTGATATAGAAGCTCCCCAAATCGGCTGCAGTATTAATCAAATCCAAATCCATTCGCAATTTAGCCACTTTCATATCCTTAATCTGTTGCTTCAAATCCAACCCTTCAATTTTCTGTAATTTCTCCACGATTACGTTAATAAAGTGCCTTCTGTATAACAATTTAGTTTCGCTGAATAACACAGAAGGCGTCGTATCATTCTGACATCTACGCCATCTTTCCGTCAGCGATTTCAAGGATCTGTCAATGTCATCTGTCAGAGTATTACAGATCGCTGTGAAATCGGCTATTTCGATGACGGTTTGCAGCTTCAGAAGCAACTGGTAACGCTGCGATTGAAACATCGGGTTCATAAGTTGCCAGTCGTTCAAGAAATTTCTGACGCAAGTTTTTAAGTACTGTACAGCGGTCGGTATGTCGTTCTGAGACAACCACAAGATGGACAGCTCTTCCGAGAAGTTCGACGTGAGGTATTCGCTGTTTTTCGGATGGGTTAGGCAATCGTTCAAATTAGAGAGAAAATCGTGTTGGATTTCTTGATTGAATAATTGCGTTTTGAGTTTCGAGGTTATGTACCAAGGTAGGAGTTTCTGTTTGGACCAGTCGTCCTCCCAGAGGCCTTTCCAGGTGTTCTCGTTCTCTACGACGGATTCAATAGCGTTGGGGATTTTTTCCCATTCGCACAAATTTGCGAAACATTTGAAATACGATTCGTAGTAAAAATCTCTTCTGTTCTGCGACAGATCCGTTTGGATAAGGTCTTTGTATAGCTGTCGGGCTTCTCTGAACAACGATTTGGATTCGTAGGTTAGTGCTTTTTGGATTGTATCTTTGCAGTCCATTTTTTCCGAGAAAATCGATCTTACGGCATCCCATTCTTCTATGTCTTTATATAGTCTGAAATAAAATAAAAAAAACGGTGAATTTGTTTATGGAAAAATCAGAAAAAACGACTTACTCCGCTAATTTCACCCAGTAAATGGTTTCTCTGGTATCTTGCCCCGGGCATCTCTTGCTGGTACTGGGACCTTCGTCTTCTACACCCGCAATAATATATTCTTCGAGCAATAGAATTCCTACGGATCCCAAACCGCTTTCTCGAGACACTTTGGCGATCAAATTCGGGTCTAGATTGATTTTCTCTTTATTTTTTAATAGAATATCTAGCAAAGCGCTGAATAGGTACCTGTTGAATTGGATAGACGTTTGGAATATGTTTTGGATGGATCGGGATATGGTGGATAAAAAATTTGCGTTATTTTCTATTTTGGAAGACAGACCTTTGAATAGTTCTAGGAAGAGGATTTTGGATATTTCGTTGTCGTGCTGGAAATGAAAAAAGAAAAGGAGCAAATAAAACAAACATCCCGATAAATAAATTCCTGGATAAAATAAGTAATGAGTAAACTTAAAGGAAAAGCAAGAAACTATTATTTAACACATCTTTCTTACCAGTGCCAACATCTGTAAAGGCTTCAAAACTGCCGACAAATCAATTTGAATATCAGGAAAATCGCCTCTTCTATAACTCCTGTAAATAGTAACCTTCTTTTCCCTTTCCAAAGCCGACTCGACGCGTTCTTGACCTTTTTTGATCTTTTTGTTCGTTTCAGCGTGCGCCATATTTATCGATATCTTCGTTTTATCCTTCAAGAATCGCTTCCTCATTTTATATTTGTCGGATAGCGGGTAACTGTTCGGATCTTTAAATAAGGGATCATGGTCCACCCCTAAAGTGCTTTCTATGAAGGTGAATTTTGACAGTTGTTGTTCTTGGTAGGATTGCGTGGGAGCGAATTCTAAATTTGTTGGAGTTTGGCGTAGCTGAAACACGTCTCTATCGGGGTCTGAAGATGAGCTGTTAAAAAAGAACGTATTGGTATAAAAAAAAATGGGAATTATTAGTTTGTTTGTACGAAAAATTAAAAGTAAATCGTAACAAAAAAATCTGATATGTCCAGCACATGACTTTCCTTTTTCAGGTAATTTTGTACAAGCTATTTTATTGCCTCTGTAAACTTTTAGAAGATGAACTAAAAATTAAAATTTTACACTTTTCTTAAAAAATTTCCATTACGGTCCATTTTAGAGAAATCATGTAGAACAAACATTATAGAGAATAATGATATCGCTAACAACTTTTTCGAAAAATTTTCTTAATTCAAATTTTGCACCTTTTGTCAAATTTCTCGAATAGGGACCAATTTAGGAAAATTTTATATTGTCGTGCGAAAGCCGACCCTGTTCTCTATTTATTTTTACCGCGCCGCAGAGTCTGGCGTTGGCCATCGAGACCCGACTCATGATCGAGACATTGTTGAAATTTTCTCTGTATGTGGTCTGACGCGTGGAGGAAGATTTCGAGATTCTTCTAGTAGGATTGGTTTTTTCTAGGCAGTTACATTTTATATAAATTCTTTTGAAATTTCTTCTATAGAAAATAAGATATCTTCAAACGAGAAGAAGAGAAGAAATTAATGTCTTCCGTTGAGGAGAAAATAAAACAGATGGAAAAGAAGACAGAAGAAATGGACCATATAGAACAGTTTAAGGACAGTGAAATAAAGTGTCATGAGGTGGAGTCAAAGTTGAAATTGGATGGAACTGTAAACGAAGCTCCAACTTTCGACGGCAAAATGCCATGGACCAATTACCTTAAACAGTTGAAAACGGCGGCCAGAGTGAACGAATGGTCTGATAGAGAAAAAGCAGTAAATTTGGCCATCGCCCTTCAAGGAGACGCTTTAGATGTTCTTCAGAGTATACCAGTGGAAAAGACAGATGATTTTGAACAACTTATGGCCACGAACACTTGGAACATTTATACCAATCACAGTTAAAGAATCGCAAACAGAAACGAGACGACACCCTACAAGAATATGAAGTAGATATTGCCAGGTTGGTGCTATTTGTCTATCCATAAGCTCCGGAAAAGAAGATGGAATGTCTAGCATTTGTTGATGGACTCCGTGACAATGAAATTCAGAAAACACTCCGTCTAGTCCGTCACAAAACATTGGTCGAAGTCTTCTCCACTGCTCTAGAGAATAAAACAGCTACCCAAGTTTCTGGTGGATACAGTAAAGTGAGGACTGTAGAAGAGGAAAACTGGTTAACATGATGAAGAACCTTACTGACAAGAATATAAAGACAAAGACCATCAGATGATGGAATTGCGGTGAACTGGAACATGTACGCAGTTCTTTCAAACGCTCTAGAATCACAACAAACCACAACACGCAGCAGGAAAACTAGAGCGGGACAGCTACGACCCGGAACCGTTTCAAAGACCCTCTCATTTTGAAATGTTGCGATGATAGTGTGTAAATGGTAAAAACTATAACACTGTTGGTGGATACTAGAACTATTATACTACCAACAACCATAAATAACCAAAGAAATTTCTACCAAGATTGCGACTGCAGACTGCTACAGGTGAAAGTGCCAACATCCATAGAGACATCCAGGTTCAATTAGGAATTGGTACAGAAAAGTTCACTCATACTGTTATTGTCGCTGATATCGAAAAAGATATTATACTTCGAATGGATGTAATGAACTTAGATGGTTTCCAGTTGGACTTTAAGAACAGAATTATCAAAGTTGGTGCTGAAGAAGTGTTCCTTCATCCATATAGAGACAGTATACCGTGCCAGTAGCTGTACAAAAAGACGGTGGTACTTGGTAGAAGTAAAACCATTATAGTAGCATGTCTTTAAGAAACTATGGAAGAAGAAACATCTGTCATGATGGAACCTTGGAACCACGATGAAGAGGTCGGACGAGGAATTCTGATCGGAAAGGGTTTGGTCACGACTGCCAAAGAGATTCCAGTACCTCTTATAAACGTTACCATCCAGAAAGAGACCAGAATCGGAACCTGTGTACCGGTAACTTCCATAATTCGTCAAGACAACAACTTCTGATAATTCCAATGACAAATTCGGGCAATGATTGCAGTTGCTGGTCAATCTCTGAATCGTGACATTTTTGTACCAAAAGGAGGAAAAACAGGAAGAACTTCCTGTTGTAAAACATAAAATTGACACTGGTGACGCCAAGCCGATTCGTCAATCAGTTCAAAGATTACCAAAGGCCAAGAGAGAGAAAGCTATAAGGATTGTTCGGGAATTGGAGACAGACAGGGTGATGGAACCTTCTACGAGCCCAAGGGTCTCTCCGGTAGTCCTGGTCCAGAAAAAGGATGGAATTACGAGGTTATGTGTGGATTACCGTCAGTTAAACAATGTTATCAAGAAATACAGATATCCTCTGCTTCGGACGATACCTTTGACACCTTGGCCGGAAGTATACCTTATACTTGAAGTCTGGATATGGGCAGGTGGAAATGGACCCCCCCAGTAGATAAAGAAAAGAGAACTTTTACTACCGGATCTGGATTGTGGCAATTTAATGTCATGCCACTTGGACTATGTAATTCATCTGCGATATTTGAAAGACTTATGGAAAATGTATTGAGGGTTATCCTGCAAAATATACCTGGTGTATTTAGATGACATAATCGTCTTGGGGAAGACATTTGATGAACATCTAAAGAACTTAGAAGGTGCCCAACTGTTACTAATCCCCAAGAAATGCCAGTTATTTCAAAATAAAGTTAATTACCTGGGTCATAAAGTCAGCAAGGATAGCGTGGCTGTAGATAAGGAGAAAGTCGCTTCCATCAAACAATGGCCACAACCAACTGATAAACATTAATAAGAAGTTTTCTTGGGCTCTGTACGTACTACCGAAGATTCATAAGGAAGTTCGCAGATATTGCTAAGCCATTAACACGACTCACAGAAGAAGCAAGAGAATTATGCTGGGACAAAAACTGTCAAACTGCCGTTAAAACATTATAGAAGCATTTAACAAGAGCGCTACCAGAAGGAGAATTTATACTGGATACTGATGCCAGTAATGTGGGAATTGAGGAGTGGTTTCACAGATTCAAGGGGAAAAGAAAGAGTACTGGGTTATTTTAGTAAAGTGCTTTCGAAACCTGAGCGAAATTACGAGAAAAGAACTCCTAGAAAAATGCGAAATATGGACGAATATTCTTAATCCGTACCGATCATGCAGCAAAAGTCCTGTTTGGGCGTGAGATGAGACTACCGTGAGACCTCGAGTTTGGATGGAGAAGACGTAGCCGGTGAAGAATATGTGATCCAGCTACAAAAAAAATGGACGACATGCATGAGTTAGTTTGCTTGAATCTTCAAATCGCCAGCGACAGAATGAAGAAACCATACCCAAGCCACAGAAGGATGTTTCAAGAAGGGCGACAAAGTCTGGCTCCATAACCCAAAAGGGTTTGTAACGTTATAAATAACGTTTCAGTTTTATTTCCAGAATATTAACGATTGAATGTCGTTAATATTATTATTAATTATACCCTACTGGGGAAAACATTCAGGCATGCCACTGGTACGAGCTTGTATTTCAAGGCCACTTGTAGAATGTTAAAATCAATAGTTTCGCGGTCTTACGATGAAATTTGCAATTTAAGTAGGGTTTCCGAATGATCAGCCGTTCTTTTGCTGTGTGGAGTTTTGACCGAATAATGCTTAAGTCTAAATAAATTAATTAATTGGTGTAAATAAATTACAAATACACGCTTACAGTACAGAACAAAAATTATGGAGAATAACATTTTTTTCTCCAAGCGTAAATAATATATATTCTATAAAATAGAAACATGACTACCAGATGTTTCGACTATGCCCAAAATCTAATCATGATGGATATCTAAAATTTGGTTTTTTCTATGTATATACAGACAGGAAAGTAAAAAAAGAGACCACTCTCCCAACCAGAACAAAAATTTTATTATTATGCAAATCTGAATGCTGAACTCTGTCTTTTGGCAAATAATTTTTAATAAATTGTAATTGTCACATACCAATAAAATCATATTTATTTATTATTTATCTTACATACCTTTCAATACTGCCAACATCCAAAGTTTCCGCGAACATCGGCACCACGGAGGGATGCTGCAACTTCCAACTAGTCTGCAGCTTGTACTCCTCGAAATCGCAATCCTCCAATGGATGCTCGAAAATCTCCAAATCGTATTTGTCACTTCCGCGCAGCAATACGAGCAAAAAATAAGTCGAAAAACCCAACAGCTTATCTTCTATCTTCGTTTTATACATTTCGGAAAGCAAGTAAGAAAATCTTTGTAATACCGTGGTGGGTAAATCTGAATTTAGCGACCAAAAATCGATGATTTTATTCTGATTGTCAATATCGGCATCTATTAGACCGTAAATTAGAATTTCTTTACACGAATCGCTTTCGTTCTCGTGTAAACTGTATATAGCGATTGCCGCGTCGTATAAACAGCCCCTAAAAACCGCGTTCGGATGATAAACGTTCCTGGTTAAGGCCGTTACGATTTTAGGAAAGTCGGGATATTTGGAAAATTCGGCCACGCATTTTTTAACGATTTCTAAGGATAAAATTTGAATTTCTAAATTGGAGTCCTCGATGTGGTCGTGCCATCGCATGATTCTGAATTCGCTGACCTCTTGAAGGACGTCCGTGGAAATTTCTAATCGTTTATGGATGACCTTTAAATGGGCGATTTTTTGAGCGCACGTTACTTGATTGAAAGGGCCGATCAAACGAGACAAGTGTAAGATGTTGACGATTTGAGGGAATGTTATCGCTATGCCTATAAAAAAAAACGAATTATACAAAAAAATTACAGATGTATTGATACGTAAAGTTTGTTCCAACATAAACCAAATTCTGCGCAGTCTGGAATTCGTGTTCCAACTAACCTTAGACTCAAAACTGTACAAAAACGTAGTATTCCAACATCACAACCAAAACTAATCACAAACTGATTTGTGTACTGTGAAATCAGTTCCTGGATCTGAATAGGAACGAATTGTCAAGACATGTGCAATAAGCTGCAATAAACTGAACATTTCGAGATTGTAATTATATTATTTTTATCTATTGTTTCTGACAGTTCTGATTTGTATTTGTTAATCGAGTTTAGTCTTCATAGTTTTTGTTAGTTATCATTTATTTTATTTAGTGATTTATTATTGTGATAGTGAGTCTGTTGAATTTAAAAAATGTGTTCCAAACATAACCGAGTTCCGAGTTGAGTCCCAATCCCCGACCAGTACCTGACATGTTGTCAATTACTAGTCGTTGACAGATTGTCAACAATAAGTTTTGGACGAACTCTCGTCCAGTTCACGCAATGACATAAAGTGATAAAAACTGCATTAAGGATATTTTCATTGTTTAAATTAATTTGGAACTATTAACAAAATTTCACTCGTCATGGATAAGATCGAGTAAAGTCAGCCATGCATTCTGGGATTGAATACCTACTGCAACTCGCCATTTACTTTCACACCTGCACGAAAGCAACTTTCTATAATTCTTTCTTCTGCTTTCTGTTAAATACAATTTTATTTTCAAGAGTAAGACCACAAGTTAGAGGTGAGAATTTTTTATGTTGAAAATTATACTACTCCACCAATGTCTCGTGGTATTTTAAGGAGGATATTATTTCGTAAAATCATAATCTTGCATCTGCTGTATTACAGGATTTGGGACTTATTTTGAAAGAAACATCGTCTTCAGTTATTGACCGAAGTAAGGTCCGAAGAGCTCGTCAGAAACACCGTTTTGATTTATAAAGCGAATTCCAAACATTCACTCCGGAGATTAGAGCATTATACTTCGATGGAAGAAAGGATAATACGATATGCCAGGAAAAAATTAGTAACAAATGTCATCGTAAAATTAAACTCGAAGAACATATATAATTGCACCAACAACAGGTACGGGGAAACATATTCCCATATCTATAGTTAATTTTCTACAAGAATTTGACATTAGTACAAATAAGCTTTTACTAGTAGACTGCGATGGTACAGCGATTATTACAGGAAGGAAGAATGGAGTTTTGCGTCATTTAGAAACAAAACTGAAACGTCCTCTGCAGTAGATGATATGTCAGCTACAAATTTTTCAATATCTTGACGGAGAAACTTCAGGACCTCCTGTATACTCTGGAGCCATAGCAAAAATGTTGGAGACTTGCAAAAAATTGCCCGTTGTAATTTTTTTTCTATTGTTAGCCCTTTACCAGAATTAGACGCTGCGCTATTAGGAATCTTAGCACTGATCAAAAGTACTTAAATGAAATGTGTCATTCAATTTCTAGAGGAAACTGTTCATTAGATCTAGCAGCTCGTAATCCAGGTAAATTATCACACACGATGGCTTACAAAGGCAAACTGTATATTGCGTCTTTACATCGAAAGTAAATGTCCGTCTACAAATTTAAGAACAATCGCTGAATTTTTGGTAAAAGTTTATGCGCCAGTGTGGTTTGACATTAAAAGAAAACCATCGTGTAGTGATGGAGGAAGACACGTCTTCAGAATGATACAGTTGTCACGCTACTTGAACAACGAATTGAAGGTAATCATCGATCCTGTTATCAAACGAAATGCGTATTTTTGTCATCCGGAGAACCTTCTAGTAATGCTTTCTGATGATCGTCCTTCTATAAGACAACTTGGCTTACGACGATTAGTCATTTCTAACCTTTCCTCGAATCCTAGCAATTGTTGGTCGCGTACAAGATCTGGACAAAGCACAGATTCTGTGTATTCTGGGATAGGACGGACGTAGTAGCATTTATAAAGTTTGTACGTTGTAAACAATACTTTTGAGAATTTTTTTAATGTTCTCAAAAAAATTCTTACCTCGCGTGGTATTTGAAAAGATTATTGAACAATATAAACAAAACTTTTATAATCAAAATTTGCTTTGTTTTCGTAAGACGAAATCTAAAATGATGTTGATTCTTTATTTACAATGTATATTTGAAAAATCAAAACGATTTTTGTCCATTTTTCGCCACCTTTTCAACACACTAAGCGCCAAAGTGATTTTCAATTTTTTGAATAAATGTTTTAATTTCTATAAAGTCGTTTTTTTTATAGCTATTATTGGAGGCCAAACTCAAATAAACCACAGTAATTGACCAGGCCAATGCTTGGTTTTGAACAACTAATCCTAGACAGGTTAAAAAGAGAAATAGATAGAAAAGGATCTCTGGCTATTCACCAGTATGGTTTTTAGAGAAGGGAAGTCAACAATCGACGCACTAGAGGTGGTTCGAGAAACAGCAGAAGAAACCAGTCAAAAAACAGCAAGAGAAAGATGTATGATTATCTCTTTGAACATACAGAAAGCATTTAACTCGGCACCGTGGGAAGGCATATTAAATGAAATACAAAGAAGAGAAATGGCTCCATATTTGTATAACATTGTGGCGAGCTATTTTGAAAACCGAACCCTACTAGTGGGGGAAAATGGAAAAATAGAGCTGTCAAGTGGAGTTCCCCAAGGTTCCGTTCTGGGCCCGACCCTGTGGAATCTGTACTATGATTAAGTGTTGAGACTACCGGTTCCCCGAGGAGTTAGGCTTATTGCATACGCCGATGATCTAGGGATACTAGTAACAGACAAAAATGCCACTCAGATGGAAGCAAAGGCCAACGAAGTACTGACGAATGTAACTGAATGGATGGACAACAAAAAATTAAAGTTCGCACCACATAAAACGGAGGCAGTGCTACTTGCGGGGGGACGAAAAACAAAGAGCGCTACGGTAACGGTACAGGGAGTTACTATAAGCACTAAGGAATCTATCAAATATCTTGGAGTACATCTAAACAGGAATATGACAATGAGCACACATATACAAAAGACCGCTGAAAAAGCATGTAAGGCGATAGGAAACCTACAAAGGCTAATGCCTAAAGTAGAGGGACCAAGAGAAAATAGCAGAAGGATCCTATTTTGCGTTGTACAATCCATCATACTGTACGGAGCCACAATATGAAAAAAAAACCATCAGGAAACAGTTATACAGGGGTATGTTCCTAAAAGTCCAACGTAGAGTAGCTATCAGCATAACAAGCGCATACAAGACATCATCTACAAAAGCCCTGCTGGTAATAGCCAGAACACCTTCATTGAATATACTAGCTGAAGAACGGGAGCTTATACGAAATGGCATGGATAGAACAGTGACAAAACAAATTATAATGGGAAAATGGCAAGAGAGATGGGAAAAAGAGGAATGGACCAAAAGACTAATACCAGACCTAAACCTCTGGTACGACAGAAATCATGGTCAAGTTGATTTTTATATGACTAAACTTCTGACGGGGCATGGAACCTTCCAATCCTACCTGTTTAGATTCAAACTTTCTGATACAGACGAATGCCTATATTGTAGATCAGTCGATACAGTAGAACATACATTTTTTAAATGTGTACGATGGGAAGATGATCGACAAGCCACTCAAAACAAATTGGGAATAATAACACCGGACAACATAATTAATAAGATCTACCTTCGCCGACCTATTTGAAGTAATGCCTGACGGCAGTTCCAAATAGGTTCCCTCTTAGGCGATAGGGTGGTTTTAGTGGGTATACCGGCCTTGCACCCTTCAGCCGGGAGTCCCACACTACCAGGTACGGGCAGAACCACATGCCTGGTGTCCGTAATGGATCCACCCTACCAGAAAAAGTTTGGTTTTCTGCATATAAAAGGAATTAAAACCGTGTGTATGTAAGATACACAAATATTTGAACACAATTTGTTGGATGTATCTTTTTCGATACACAATGGTTTTGACAGTGTGTATCGAACAGGATACACCGGCGCTTAGAGTGTTAATAAACTTCACATTGACGTTTCGCGAGATGGAGTAAAAACGCTGCACCGTTCAATGATTTCAGATAGTTCGTTTTGATTGGCGTATGTTGCAATAAAAGAGGATCGTCATTGGTTGATGTTATTATAGTGTTAAATATTCAATAGAAATGTTAACAAATGTTTAATACACATATTCAGTTTCAATTTCAAGATTAAACTGTCATTCTGTGAAAGTGGATAAATAAAAAAATTGTTTTTAAATAACAAATTCAATAAAGAAATTAAAAAGTAATTATGGAATTAGACCCTTATTATTGCATTAGTGAATATTTAAATGCTAATTTAATAAAAATTTGCTTTGTTTTTGACGTCATTTCCTTATGTGCTAGTATAAATAATATTTAGTTTCTGACAACTTTTTTTTTTTAATTTTATTAATATCTTACCTTCAAGACAAACCACGTACTTCTCAAAATCCGTAATGCCGTTTAGCTTCAAATTAACGCTATCCACAAATTCATCGGCCTTCAGATTCTTCAACAAAGGCCCTAAAGTTTCCGCGCACCCCCGGTACACGCTCCGCTTTTGCGAATTCAACTGCGCTAGCATCAAATTTAGAAATTCGTGCTCGCTGCCACGTTGCCAAACCTGCAGGCTGTTCACGAGAAGTACGGATGAAACGTAGATGGCGATTTCGGCCGTTTTATCGTCTGACAGCATTTCGAAAATGGCGCTTACGGGGGGCGCGAGATGAGTTTTCCACGATTCGACTATGAGTTTAAGTAGTTCGATGTTGTATTTGAAGACGTCTTGACGGTCTTTTTCGAGATTTTTTATGAAGTGTTCTAGAAGTTTCGACGCTAGATCGGCTTCTGGTGCCGATAGAATCGGGATTTCTGTAGACCATCTGGATATTATCACCAGCTGGAAAAATAACGGTAATAGTCTAAATTTCCGCATGACCTACTACAGGCATGGGCAACCCACGGCTTTCAAATAATACTTCAATTTATTCTCATACAAATGATACAAAGATTTTTGGCTTATTTTTGTATTTGTTCATAAAAATGTCACCTTCTTTAAAAATTATTTAGGGACAATAGTTTTCATATCCAAAATTCACGATTTGAAAAGAGAATGAGCGTTTAAATATTTGTTTGTTATGTTTAGGAACAGTAATTATATTGTTTCTTAAATGTAAATTGTAAAGATATCCAGGATATCTGGACTTAGTCCAAAATAGTCATAGAGGGGCTATCCAAGAGCATGCAAAATTAACTGAGGAGGACGAAACTCATATTATACTAACCGGAACCTGAAGAAATCGCGAAAGCGCCCATCAGACATATTCTTGAATTCATCAAGGAATATTACTTGATGGGGTACAATAAGCCTAGAGCTTCAGTATGATAGTTCTATATGGGTTCCATAGCTTCATTTAGTATTAAGAACGAAAATTTGCATTTTTTCGACATATACATGTTTTTACAACTTCAAAAATTTAATGCTTTTCCCCAGATCTGCTGAAAAATCTAATTAATTTACCATTTTTGATTTACTATTTTTTAATTTTACTACCGTAATCTGGGCAACTTGGTCACCCCTGGGCAACTTGGTCACCCCGGGGTAACTTGGTCACCTATAACGTAATTTTTGTTTTTGGGTATATTCGGCTGTTTTTTTTTTGAGGATTTTCAGGTAAATAGTCAGTCAAAATGGTAAGAAAGTACCAGAGAACCCCTGGGACAAAGCCCTATGAAGATTATTCTAAAGAAAATTTGGAAGAAGCCATAGCAGTTGTTGAAATGGGCATGTCAAAAAAATTAGCTGCCGAAACATATGAAATACAACTTTAACTCTGAAAATAGTTGAAAAAAATTCGGGTTCAATAGGCCGCCCAAGAGTCCTGTCAGCCGAAGAAGAGCGGAGAATATCAGAGACCATTGGAGTGGTGGCCAATAGGGGGGTTCCCATTGACAAGGCTCGATGTAAGGACGCTAAATACCTGGACAAACAAGGAAACACAGTTTTCTGGATGTATTTATCCAGAGGAATAGGCTCTCCATTCGCCTGGCATCGAACATTAAAAGGTCCAGATCGTCCGTGTACCGTGGAGATAATTTAAAATTTTTCACCAATATAAATGAGGCTCCATTAGCATTATGGTGTGCGAAAACGCGAAGGGTGATCTCCTGCCTCTCATAGTTGTCTATAAATCTGGACATCTTTATGAAAACTGGACAGAAGGAGGCCCTCCAGGATTGAAATATGCAAGCAGTCCTTCTGGTTGGTTTGACATGAATTTGTTCGAGATGTGGTTTTTCAAAATCCTCCTCCCGCACATAATGGAAACTCGAAAACCCGGTGCCACAACTATTGTGGTGGGTGATAACCTCGCCAGCCACTTTTCGCCTTCGTTTATTCAGTCCTGTAATGCTATTTATATTACTCAATTCCCTGCAAACGCCACTCATCTAATGCAGCCACTGGATGTGGCTGTATTTGGACCGATGAAGAAGTGCTGGAGAAAGATTTTAGACCAGCGGAAGAAAGAAAGCCGATATCCAGGAAATCTTCCAAAATAACAGTTTCCCAATTTGCTCTCTAGGTTATGGAACGGCATCTCTGACACTGTAAACCAAAATTTGATATCTGGATTTCGAGCCACTGGGCTTTATCCACCTGATCCAAACGAGGTCTTGAAGATAATTCCTAATGGAATCATACCAGACGATCGAGATGCAATTGGAAGATCTCTTGATGCATCATTGGTAGATCTTCTGAGAGAACACAGAGAGGTTGGCAGCGAAGCAAATCCGAAGAAAAAAAAAGAGGCAAGAAAATTCAACCCCGTAAAAATTTGGCAAGAGATGCGGATAAAGAAGTGGTTCCCACAGATGAACCTATTGTCCCTGTAGACCTTGTAGGCCCCAATAAAACCATTAAGTCTCCCACTACTCAAGCATTGGAGCCACTAGATGTCCCAGGACCGTCTGGTGTACTTAGAACGAACAAAATTAAGAAGAAATCCCGTCCAATTCAGTCTAGACAAAAAAGTGAAAGACAAGTGAAAAGTCAAACAGATGCGAAGTGTGGCCTTTGTTTTTGTAACTGGAAAGACTTTCATGGCGGACAAGATTGGATTAAATCATCCAATCTGATACATTTTTCCCCAGATCTGGAGAAAAATTTACTAGGTATCTCATATATTTGCGCCTGCTACCAACGAGTACTCTGCTTTTGGCTAGTTGTAATACATATTGCCTACCTACGCCATGTTCGACCTTGGAGGTGTTAACGTTCCTTGCTCTCCGCTTGCACGTTATCTGTCTAACCGATCTATCAATCGTTGGAAAAGCAGTGTTGCCTTTCAATGTCAATTTTTTGAGGCCCTATTCTCCAAGTTGAACGTTGTGAACATTCCACTGTGGGATGTGAAGTGTCATATCACCAATTTCTTCTCTCGGTCATCGAATTCGGTATTCTTGAATCATTCACATCTCATAGGTTCACGAAGCACCGCTGCCAAATTTAAATTGTGCGTTAGAACTATTTTAGAAGGCACTTTACTTCAATTTTTTATTATTTTTTGACAATTGTAATAACAGATTATGGGCCATTTACACCGCTAGTCGTTAAGAACTAAGCGAAGCTTCAAGTGACATTGTTAATGGAAAAATGTCAGTTTAAGCTTGGCTTATTTCTTAACGACTAGCGGTGCAAATGGACCTATATTTTCTATTAAATCCCGTGTCAAAGGTTTACTTAGACGAAATTTTTTTATGAATATTCGGTCACTAAAGTCAAAAGGATCCTCTTTTCTTAAAAAAATTATATTTGGTCGATTGGCATCTTCTTCCGCTTCAGCTAGATCATTCAAAATATGAATATAAATAAGAGCTTCGTCCAAATCCATTTTAATTAAAAAAAGTGACGTTTTGATAGCGCACGACAATGATGCTCTTTCATGCGAAGTGATCATTCACTTCAATTCAAGAATACCACTCACACACTTTTTAAGAGAACGTCTGTCCAGTTCACATGAAATGATCATTCTCTCAACTGGAGAATAGGCCTCCTGGTTATTTTTTAGGCGTACTTACTATTGAATCACAATGTGCGGTGTTGCCAAATCGACTCTACAAATTTCCCCAGATCTGGGGGAAAATGTAAAAAGTGGGTTCGAGAGTCTCTTATCTACTATATAGAAGTTGGTAATATTTAAAAACTCCAAGTATGCACATATATTTGCACTTAAATAAATATTTTTGTTTTAGTCCATGGTTTACATAAAAACAATTTATTCGGAGTTCTATAAAAAAGGTTGTCCATGCCTGAAGCTAATAGTTTTAAAATGAGACTTACCACGTCGGTTACAAAATAGTTTATGGTTTCACCAGCAATTTTGTCGACCACAAATTGTATAAGCGGTTCCAAAAAGTATTTGGCGTATCTGTTGAATATGTGGATCATGTTATCGATAATTTTCACCAAGAATATTTTAACATTTTTATGGGTGTTTCCGTTGAGAAGCAATGATCTGATACCTAAAACATTTGTAATATAACATATATCTGTAAAAACGGAATTTGTGAGCTTACCGTGCAAAAATTTTGGCAACTGTATATCTTCATCATCGTATGATGGTAATTCACAAATACCGCTATCAAAAATATGCTGAATAAGACTGCAAACGGTCGCCATGCATTCATGTTTGTTAATTTCGGTCATATCCAAGTAAATTTCGCTCTGTACTTGTACATTTTCAGCCATTTTTCTCCTGCCTTGGTGGTCAGAACGCAAAACGCTGTTAGAAAAATCGAATTTAGTCACGTCTTCGCTGAGAGAACTGTTGAACAGTCTTTGGGATTCGATGTACTGTAAGGTTTTCGACATGTTGCCGGTTTTATGTCTATGTTGCCGAAGTTCATCTCTAATATTCACAAGAATCTTTTTTTGAGCTGGTAATGTATCGAATTCTCTAGGAAAATCGTAGTTGGCGTCGATATTGACAATCCCATGCCAGAGTATGTCAACATCATCGTTGTCATTTTGTCTGATGAATAATTTCTCGTAGAAATTTATTTTCTTGATAGAATTGCTAACCATTGATGCCAAAGCGTTGTAAGCGTGACATTTATACCGCCTAGTAAGATCATCTTGCTTTTTGTCATATTTAAAAGCATCTAAAGCGTATTTTAACAAATCTTGCAGCAACTTAGTCCTTTTTGATGCTATGCATATACCGCAATTTTTTCTGTCAGCTGAACCTATCGGTATACGCAAAAATAATACTTCTACAAGGATAAAATTTATAATAGCCAATTCCGGATCACCTTCTTCGAATTTTTGTAAAATATTTTCAATATTTTGAATAAAGAACTGTTCGAAAACGTCCAAATCGCAATTCCAAAAAAGAGGTGGTAAAATGTCCGTAGCTAATTTAATAGTACCCAATTCGTACACTTTTTCTAAAAATCCACCCTGTATATCGGCGTCCAAATGGTGAATACATTTACTCAACAGATAACTGATATTTACGGTAGGATTTATTTTTAAATAAGTGTTTATTAAATATTCGAAAATATCCAATGATTTAACCACTGGAAGGAATGTTAGTAATTTATTAAAATCGTTAGAAATTACATCTTGATTTGACGTTTGCGTGTATATTTTCTCGTCCAGAATAGTGAAAGCCGTTTTTAAGTCGTTACTAGAAAAAAATGCCGTCGTTAGTTTACATTTTAAGAAATTATATACCAAACTGCGTTTTTTGTGGGTCTAAAACGTTATTTGGTTTATCATTGTATAATCTATGTAATACCCAGAGACTCATCCCTTTTTTTAAGCCAAAGAATGTTAATAAACTTGTAATTTATTAAATATAGTTTGCAGGATTTTAAAATATTCTAAATTTCTGCAGTTTAAATTTGTGGTTGCTTATTACTATTTCAAAAATCTTATGCATTTTTCTGAATTCTGAATCAAGTAATAACAATGGAAAATATTTACTACAAATTAATTTTTTTGCACATAAACCTGTCTGAAAGATTTATTAGAAAGATGCCACGGGTTGCATACATAATTTAATAGATGTTCATAATTGGAGGTAAATATGTGCCAAATACGAGTCTATAAATAAAAAAAATGCCAAAAAATATAAATTTTGGACATGTATGTGGAAAAAATCGTAGAGTCCAACTGGTTTATTTACTTTTTAAATTCATTTTTTGAGGATACCAGAGCCTGTAAATGTAAATATTACTATGATAAAATGAAAGATATGAAAAAAAAACAAAGAAATGAAAAACAAAAATATATTGTATGTGCTGAGACTCCAACGCGCAATCACTTGCTTCAGTAGCAGACACCTTATCCTTTAGACCACATTCAATCGATGCTGGTATTTTCCTGACGGTATATATACTAAAAAATTGGGATGATTAATAATAAAATATATGCGTTCCGGTATACGTAATTTTTTTTCATTGCCTACTTTATAAACATTTTTTTGTAGATTATTGTGTGGACAACTAGAACGACGCCAGACAAATGCAAATATTAGGCATTCCAAACACATTAATTGCCAGTGGGAAGGTTTGGTATATTTAAGGGTTGCGACATACGATGTATTCAATCTAAAATACGTAAAATTATGAATAAAGGATTACATTTAAATATTTTAGGTCGAACACAATAAAAACATTAATTAAAAAAAATCGCTTTTAACATTTTTTCATAAATTGACAGGCTTGGCGACTACTATTTCGAATAAAAGTAACATCCAAGATGCAAGACTATGTCGCTAGCCCCTTAGATAAACGAGACCTTCCCACTGACTGCTATTGTTTGACAGGTTGTTGGAATGCCTAATATTAAAAAAAATGGCAACTTTATTTTTATATGGTAGTTTCCATGCGACATCTATTTTAAAATTGTTGTATTAAGTAATTACAGGAAATGATAGAAAATATTTTTCTAAAGATCTCTGCCCATTACACCTTACCATACTAGGATCGTAACCTTATCGACACATACAAATTTCACGGCGAGAATATTTTGCAGGTACCGACACGCACCGTCCATGGCAAGCTGTTATATGTGAGGATAAAACGCTGTTGATTCCCTGCAGTGGGCCCAGTAGTATCTTCTTCTAACTCTTTGAAATTCCGTATAATTTCCGTACATTCTGGGAAAAACTATGGATATTTTTGGATTTTCATAAGTATATTTGGACAAGTTAGTTGTTTCAGTGTGTCTTCTGCTTTTATTAAAACTTGGCTGACTGGTAGCTGGCTGCTTATTTTAGAGAAGGCCTAACTCCATGTCATTGACCAATGAAAATAGGCCCGGAGCGGGGGATTCACAGAACCGATATTGTTGTCAGACAACAGACGTGTAACTTAATAGGAAAATTTGTTCGGTGGTCCATTTAAATTACATATATGACTTTCTTTCTCTTTTACATTGATCTTTACATATATTTATCTCTCTCCAATAAAACTAACACCAATCCTAGAGGTCGCTGATGTTGCTGGTTTTTTGACGTCGACGTATAGATTAGAACTGACAACTGACAATGTTTTGAATGTTGTTATAAATGTGTGCATTTTATTAAAATTAATTTAATTTGGGCCCCGTTTATTTCTTTGAGTCTGATTTTGTTGTTTAATTAATTTTATTTGGGGGGGAATGTTTATTTTCGCATATTATTTTTTGCATGAAGCAATTTCTGGAACCAAACTCGCGTTTCTGTACACGTTTCTTTCTAGAGGTAAATAATTTCCAATTTATTAAGAAAACCACTGTATAATGTGTGTGTTTAATAATATATTACAAAATGACTATAATTATTTTAGGTGAATTGGAACAGAGATCCATTGTTACAGTTACTTTTGTTCATTAAGTAGGTAGATGAATGTCTCGACAACTTTAATGGCAGCACAAAGTTCCCACCTACTAGAAAAGAAGTAAAATGTATGCTAAGTAAAAAATCTCTGCACATGTAGTATTGCCAAAGGACTTTTGAAATGATTAGAGATTGGCTATTTCTTACATACACCTACCTCTAATAGCCACTAGATTGTAGTCATTTAAACGAAGAAAAAAAAATTGAATCATAAAAGGGCAGAATTTTAAATCAGGATGCATTGGAAAATAAATTTGAGGACATCAGGTCGGTTTTAAATTTTAGAGAGAGATCAATCTCAAGAAAAGTCAATTTATCCTGCAGAACAACCAGTAGTTTAAGCAGGATCTGCTATAACTTTATTAGAAGATTTCCTTGATAATAAATTATAATATACCAATGGACAATTTTAGCACTTTTTTTTAATTGATATTTGAGTGTATAAGGTCTTGATTTACCGCTTATACTACCTTATTATTTTGTAACATCAACCTTTAACTGTAAAACCACCCTCTTATTGAAATTTCGCGGGCTTGATGTCGTCATACCAGAAGCTAGCCCACGTGATCTTGACGTCACAGGCATAATCAGTATGAAGTGTCTACTCGGTCACTTGGTATGGTCTGCAATTAATCGGTAACATCCGATGTGTCGTTTAAAATCGAATTGTTGAGTTACAATTTAGGTTAATTGTGATATTCATTAAAATAAAAGTTTTTAATTAAAAATTTAATAATTGCTTGAAAGCCGGACATTAGAAATGCAGAAATATTAATCTCAAAAACTTTTGTTCAATCAACAGATTTGGATATTCTAATCTAATCTAATACTATGACAAATACCAAGAGAAGCTGTGCAGTCCTCACATAGATTTTAAATTTTTTTCGATTTTTGTGTCTATTTTGACAGAAACTTCATACAGTTTTAACCTATTAACTCTATGTTCAGGAGTAATACGTCCCTTCACAACAACATCATCTTCTCTATTTAGCTGGACATAGCCAATAGCTTCATCCCCATAGCAAGATCTAGCAGCCCTACAATATATTAATGATTTTAAATATATACTTATAATTGGTAGTTTCTTCAAAATAACTAACCTCAGACTTTTTACATTTCGGTACTTGGCACTTATATAATATAATATTCGTGTATCATAAAATAATCCACTCAGGGAAGATTATTTAAATAAATAAATAAATATGGTTTTATTGGCATGTGAAAATTACAAATCAGCTTTCACAAAACCTTGTTCCATTTTTCACAAAAATAAACTTAAAGAATTAAAATTCACAACAAAATATAAACCAAACCACAAGCGACCCTACAAACACGTGTAGACAAACGGTTGGTCTCGTATACATTTCTTTTTAGCGAGCTAATGATAGCGAGTATCTTGTGTATCTTGTGCGTATGCATTTATGTTATGTCACCAGTCATGTAAAAGTTTTCCTAATCTCCTAATTTGGTGTCGTTGTCCCTTACTAGGGTATACCGATTTTAAATAATCCCTTAATTATAGATTACCTTACGATGTTTGAATGTATATAACATTTTACCCATGAAAAATCTAATTTCGAATTTAACTCTTTTTCAATTTAATTTGAAACAATGGACGATTTTAGTAAGTCGGATTTTTTGGTTTTTTAATATACTGACACTTAATCTTAATCATATTGATTCAGTTACAAAACAAAACTCATCGCAAGTATATTTTCTTTTTTAATAAATATATATTTTTTAAAAATACTGATCTGGGGATTTTGTTCGATGATTTAATTTATGTTGCTTCAGCAACGTCCTGTTTAAATGATAGTATGTCATCCTTCATTCCCTTTTAGAAGGCATGGCATATAAATCTATTGATCTTGATGACCCTAAGAGGAGTTAGCAGGGGGTGTACGGAATGGGCCTAGCAAGTTTCGATCCAGTTGACAGGATGGGAACTTACTCGACTCGGGCCTTATCACATACTTTGATTTTCTTTTACTATACGGAGAATGGTAACACTGCGCAGCTTTCTGAGTGCCTTTTAAAAGGAGATAGAAAACTCCGCCATTTTGATCCTTTATTACGTGTTGCCTACATCTTAACGCAATATTTTTAATAGATGCGTTTTAATCATCCGCTTCTGCTTCGGAATTGTCGGTTTTCTTGTTTTAATCTAACAGGTTAAAACGACTAAACCGACAATTTCGGAAGCAGAAGCGGACGATTAAAACGCACCTGATATTTTACTTGCTGCTGTCAGTGTCAGTGAATATCATTTTTGGAGTCACAGTTTATTGCTAAAGAATCAGTTAGCTCACAAATTCAGGATACGCAGAAGACTGCTGTTTTATTATAGGCGGTTGTCATATATTGTATTATCCGAGTTGCGCAGTGTATAAACTGGAACATTGAGATCAAAAGTGCCGACGCAGAGTGAGCGATCTGATTCTTTAGCTATAAACTGTGGCATAGGAATCAAAATGGCCGCGCCCTAACGTAAGTGACATGGCACTTATGATAGTCTGGCAAAAAGGTATCGATATACTCTATACTTTATAAAATGTTACATTATTTTTTAAATATATTATGAATATATAACAACTGTAACTTTCTTTGTAATTTGTCACAAAGTGATACGAGGTACTTTCTAAACGTAGCAATTGTAGTTTGTTTTTCTGTACCTTACAAAAATATTATTTATAGAAAAAGTTTGATGTATTATTTTTACAAGTTTAAATATTTAATAATCAATATAATTTTCAATTTTTTTTTAGCGAAATTTACAAGAGTAATATGTTCACTGCTTATATTAAACTGATTAAAACTTCCTTTATTAAAATGATTATTTATATGATAAAAAATTTGATGTTATTGGAAGCTTTTACATTTTTTAATATACAGCGAAACAATAGTATTTGTTTCGCCTGTAAATTTGTATAGAAATACTATTCATTTCTGAATCCATGTTTGAATTTCCCGCCCTAATGCATTTTTAAATTTTCCCACTATTTACTAGTGGCGCCATCATAGACTGGTTGTGGTTACAATCGCCGAAACAACTTTTACCGAACAAAAAAAATACATTGAGTTACACGTCTCGCTGTGTTGTCTCTGGTATTGTTGAAATGCACTTTGCTTTGGACTTTTGGCAGTCTGTCTGAACGAATCTGCGTTGCTATATTTATTCTGTCGGCAATGCCCCCCATCTTACAAACCAAAAGCCGAACCTGGCAGCAACACAAATTTGATATCTTCAAATGCAAAGATGTGGCTACAAAGCTAAATCTATAAAGGCGCATAAGAAGTATCTTTTGTACTCAGCCATCGTATAATTTCAAGTTTGCGTATTGGCAACACTGGACCGGAGTGCTTTCTTTCGTGCCTGAAACGTTCCTGTTATGGTCATGGTATGGTAAGCTGTAGTGGGTAGAGACTTTTAATCGTAATTCTTTTTAGATTTGAAAAATACTCAATAAAATTTTGAAATATTTTGGCGGGATCCTTAGAAAATATGTAAAATGAAATCTCCTACTTTTTAGTTTTAATGATTTTCTTTAATTTCATAAAAAAAACAGGAGATTTTTTATTCTTTAAATTAAACCTTATACTTTAAGCTAAAATATAGCGAAACTGTGGCCTTCATTCAATGACCTATATCACAGCTTAAATAAGAAAACACATGTAAATAATATCAAAAACTGATATACAGGGTACCGTATTACATAGATTATACAGAAATATAATAATTTTAGTAAAAAACGTCGATTGGTCCATAACGCTACATTTTTAAAATTAAAAACTTACCTTTGTTTCTCGCTGATATCATTCCCAGCTATTTTGGCCAACAATCCAAAAATTTCAATATGATTATTGATCCTGCCCCGTATAAGACAATCTACTAACCAATCTTGCATATCATAAGAACCAGAATCGGAAATTTGGACGAACAGAGTCAAAAATTCGACTCCGAGCTGCATAGTTTCATGGCTCGTATTGAAAAACTCGGCGAAGTCGCTCCAATACATCACCAAATTATCCATCAAATCTTTGTATGCATTTTTCTCGGCTTGTTCTTTAATAATATACCCGAGGATAAAGATAATTATGTCTAAAGTAATACTTTTGCTTTTAGAAAGACCTAATCTCAGAAATGTGTCGAAATGTTTGATAATTGCTGGTACTAGAGCTTCGGGAAAGGTTGAGGTGAAAAATAATCCCGCATGTTTCTTCTTTACCATATCGATGCTTTGAACATAGTAACCTGACAGTAATAATTTATCAAATAACCTGCTTAAGTTATTTTTTTCGTTTAGCATAAACTTGAATAAGAATAGAAGATGAGAAAATGTCGTATCGGGTACTTGATTAACGAAAATAACATCATCTACAGCATTTCTATAGAAATTTGCTATAAAACCTTCTAAAAGTATGTTGGTCTGGATGGACAACTCCATCTTTTGACCCAACGATGTATCACTGAGCAAAATCATTCCCTTAAGAAGGTTTCTTTCTCGCAAAGAAGTATTTCTTTCAAGATTTATAGTTGAAAAAGGTTCAATAGAATCCTGCAATACGTTTACAAAAGATTCTACTGAAGTTTTACGAAGTTTCTTCGCAATATTATTCAATAATATAAAGACGATCTCGCTGTATTCAGTAATGATATCATTTAAACCCAAATCCTGAGGATAATATACGGTGTTTGATACCAATTTCCAAAAATTTTCGGTCCACAATTTTTCAGTTTTATCACAAAGCAATTCGTTGTGAATCAATGCGTTGTATAACTTCAAAATGGACAAAATACAAGCAGTTTTTAAACGTACAAACATATCTTTATCCAGAACAGTAAAATTCCAACCTTTTAGCTGTATCAAATTCAAACTAGCAACCAAATCTGCAGTTTGTAATTTTTCCAAGAAAATTTGAGCTTCGTTGAATATAATCTCGTCAAAAGTGATCGTTTCTAGATTATTTTGAACTATAAACTTATATCCATCCAAGCAACAGAGTAAGTTACGTAAGTAATTCAGTAAACTGGCGCAGTCACAGTAGGATTTTTGATGTAAAGAATCGAAATTAACGAGTTTAGAATCGTATAAACTGGACACTGTTGTATCTAAGTGTTCGATAACAAAATCGTGCAAATGTAATCTATTTGAGCTCGATAATGGTGTTATATTAACGAAAAGTTCCATGCAAGCTAGTCTGCAATGTTTGCTGTTGCTAGATGTTTGATTTATTAACCATATCGATACGTCCGTTAACAATCCGTTGTTTAAATCGTTAGGAATTCTACGTTTTTCGTTTATTTTACGAAATACTGATGGTTTTTCTATGATGACACGTTGTAAATTAGCTAAAGCATATTTTATTTGATTGATTGTAGTGGTTTCTTCAAAATCGGTAATAGAATCGAGACTAAGTACGAAAATGTGCAGTATTTCTATCCAAAATATGTCGATGAATTTCTCATCTTCCCTCAATTCTCTGTAAACGCTGTTAAAAATCAGAGCCGCGCCCAATTTTTTAGCAGAATCTGGATGCGTGCTAAAAAAGCGAATATTTTTCACTAAAACCTTGATGCTGCTTTCCGGATTTAGATTTTGATGCTTTAGGGTCCATCTAACGAATTCGTTGATACATCTTCCGGAAAAGTCTTTAAGGTTCGAATTACTGGGGTGCGTAATGCCTTCCTGAAAACGTAAATTATACAAAATAACAAACAATTTAGGATTTAGGAAAGGCAGAGGGATTCAAGATAATATAATTATTTGAAACAACTGATAGAAAAGTACATAGAGAAGGATATTGTAAAGCTTTGGAGTGCTTATGGCTATCTACAAAAATCTGATTTTTGAGCTATATACACAGTCTGGCTAAAAATAAAAGTTTTTGTCAGTTCCAAAACCAGCCATACCGACACGTTTGAATTTGGCGCTAAAATTAGTCAGTTATAAAGTATCTATCTGTTAATATTATATTTTCATTAGTTCCAGATGTGTTCAAGATCACATAGCTATTTCTGGAACTATAAAAAATAATTTTGTTAATTCCATAAGTGTCTAAAATGAAATAGCTAATTCTGAAACTAAAAATAATAATAACAAGTAGTCAGAAAGATTTAAGTAAGTTTGGTTGTTTATAAGGCAGTAGTATATTGAACGCCATTATGTGTAGTTCGTAGTTATTAATAAGTGAAACTATACAGATTATAGTGACTTTTTTATGCAATATGACCTCCAGAGGCAAGAAAATATTAAGTATGCTACCTAGCTGCTCCAGTGAAACATCTTTCAAAAACAATTTGCAACAGATTGAAGGTATGTTAGTCCTAATATATTGCCAATAAGTTTATAGTACTCAAGTAGTATTTTAAGGATTCAAATTCAGGTAGCGTTGTGAGCCATGTTGATGAATAATTTTATGGTTTTTGTTGTTTCCTTTTATTAATACAAAAATAAATTACCAACACATACTGTCTAAATTTTGTTCACAGTATAAATAATCAATCGCAATGTGAGTGAACTTATTAAGAATATTTAACGTTAAATTATTTATATATGAATAATTTTAAAATTTTATATACGAGCCCTAACTACTATATGTTCGGACGACGTAAGAAAATTAAAAAATATGTTTATTTTAAACATTTTTTTTTTCGATTTTCCTGAGTGAAAAATCAAGTCACATACTCTTTACTTAACATAAAATCTGATCGTAAGGAAATACTTTTTTATTTTGTATAAACAACACAAATTTGCCGACAAATAAATATTTGGACGCTAATCTTTATTGGCTTTGAAATGAGTAGTACGCTAGTTCAGTGATGATGTAATTATGGTTCCACTGACAATTAAAGTGACAGTAGATTTTTTTGAGTGCATTTTGTTCGTTTTGTTTATCTAAATTATATCGTTTTTTGACTTTTATAAATATATTCCTAAAGTAAGTAGATAACATGCATCAAATATACAATCGTTTAGTTACCAATTACATACTTTTAAACTATTTTTTATGACCTGTAAACAATATTTAGAAATAAACTAAAAACAGTAAAAACGTATATGTCAAATTTATTGATGTTTTTGTTAAAAGTTTGGTTAGAATCAAAAAGTCACTGGAACCAAAGTGACATCACACTGAACTAGCGTATATGCATGCATTTACTGATACATCTAGTGTGCTTTGGTCAATAGCTGTCAGTTAAAGGTTTTTCCGTCAAATTTTGATATAAATGTTTAAGAAAATGGTGTTGCGACAAACAAAAAACTACGAGAAATTATAATTTCCCAGTACCACAGAGGTAAATCAATGCAAAAAATTTCGAAGGGTTTAAATATTGCAAAATCAACGATCGGGGATATTATTAAAAAATATGGAGAAACAGCTAGTGTTGACGTTCGTGGTAAAAGTCCAGGCCGATCGCGTACTATCACAGAAAGAGAACGCCGTGTTCTGGTAAAGATTTGCAAAACCAACAGAAGGGCTATTCTATGATAAATACAAGCCCAATGGAATCATGAGGCAAAATTAAATGTCTCTAGAGAATGTTGTTGACAATGGTTGAATAAAGCAGGGGTCCCACAGCGCGTGGAGTGGCACTAGTCGGCGCATGGAGTGACAATCATGGGATGTGAGTGGGTCGGACCGTTCCCACGGCGCACGAGGATAGCGCAGACGTGGACACGCGCCTACTGCAGTCTGTTTTACGACGTCCAATTCTGGAATATATTTGGACGTCGAATACTGGACATTCAAAAAACGTCCAGGATTATATTTCCATTGAGACCACATCCCCACTTTTTTTTACAGAACCGCAACTCAGCACACATTATTTTATATTATTAATAATTTGTTTATTATTTTCGCAAACTGCTATACACCATTTATTTTTTTTTTAATTAAAGATCAGGACTCGAACTCACGACACATTCATTATCGTTTTACGCTTTTAATCGCTAGACGAGCTCGACCAAGGAACCACTTGAAAACTTTTTACTAGATATAGTTATAATTGAATAAGATTTCAAACTTCCGCTGATAGAATGAAATGCAATAGATTCAATTTGTCAATTTTTAATGACCAGTTGTATTAAAAAAAAAGAAGTGTATATAGATGGGTATTATCTGGTAGGCTTAATAAATAATGAACTAAGATGGACGTCCATTGGACGTCAAAATACTTCTAAACTTAAAATTAAGTCCAAAAACAGACGTTCTCTGGGTATCGATATTCAGCTGTCAAATTAATTAGCATAAACGGACGTATACTGCATGCCCGGATATGGACGTCCTGATCCTCAAATAGATCTAAAGTGGACGTCCATTGGACTATGTGTGAGTCTGGGCATAGCCGAATTTTTAGAAATATTACTTATTTAAGTATGTACCAATATTTCCAAAATCAACTCTAGTATGATTCATTCAATAAATGTAAATATGAATGGGCAAAACATCTTTATATTGATATAAATGTAACTTACAATTTAGCCATAATAAAGGAATTTCGCCCACTTTGACAAATACTAATTGAAACACGCGGATTTATTATATTTTTTTAAATATAATTTCAAAATAAATTAAACCAAATCTGCAGTTCATTGTTTTTTAAATTAAGTTAAAAGAAGAAAAACATCTATTTCACAAAATCCAATACCTACATATGAAAAATAAAATGTCAAAAATGATTAAATCATTCTTAATATATATGCATGTGATAAAATTCTTAGTTTCTTAATAACTTTTTTGGCACATTTTATATCTGTATTAGAATACTTAAGTGTGTAAAAAATCTTCATCTTATTACTACACAAAACAAACACCAAAAAATATCACTTAACATTGCTCACGTACTAAACACAACTTGGACTGACTTTGACAGATAACATCATTTTGAGTGATACACAACTTATTTTCGCACATGCCTGTTACAAAACGGTACACTGAAAACACCAAGCTGTCGCTTCTCCTTGATCGGTATTCACGGGAAATACATCAAAAGAAAAGACGTCCAAATTCGTGAAAAAAAAAATGTTCGCAAAAATAAGAAAAATGCTGGAGATCCTTATATCAACTCAAAAGGACATCACGTCCCAGGCAGGTTTTTAGGTGAACCATGCAATAATTCTTACGATTTTAACACCTGTAATTTAGAGTAGGTACCTATATTTTTTATTTTTATTATAGGATTAATTGTAGTACTCGAATTAGCCAGGAAGAAAGGACTAATATTTTTATATCATACTGGAATCTTTCAAATATTGACAGACAGCTAATAATTCAGTTGAGGTTACAGATTGTAAACGAAGAACAACTGCAACGCCAAATAACTTAAGAAGATCCAAATCCATGAAATTTTACCTAAAGATTAAAGACTCTAGAATAAATGTATGTAGGACAATGCTGCTTAATACCCTAGGTATTAAAAAGGGATTTCTTAACTTCACCATAAAAATACCTGGCTTCGCAAACCGGCCTGGACACAACTCAAATTTAAATGAAAGTCTCACATTTCATATACCACATTAGTGTAAACATACGTTTTAGTACCAGCCCAAATTACAAGTTTGCCGGCTCCTGTTTTTAGTTTTAGGTTTCTTTGTATTACTACGATTTTTAGTAAATATATTGGCGTCAAAAATGGATATCTGCACTTTTTTTGTTTAATTTGTTTGATAACAAGTCCTGGATTAGCGTAATAAGTCAAAATGTCTCTAAAACAATTAAGAACTGTATAAACAAAGACAAAGTTTTTAAATAAATGAGCTATTTATAAAACCTGATTTGATGGAGTGTATTAAACTTACTTTTGTGTTTTCTGGACTATTAAGATTTTGTAGATAGTCACATATGGAAACTGACAATCGATATATCTATCAATTACGTACTGATGGGGCACCTTATATATGTATTATTGGCTATTGGTATCGTTGGATAAGCAAATTTACAATAAATTTTATGCTAAAATAATATACAGGGTGTTGCATTTGAAAAAATTTAGTAAATTAATAAAATTAGCCATATTTAAGACATGTTTCAAAATACTCTATATAAAATAAACCAATTCTATCACCACTATTCATTAGCTTACCTATATAATGATAATTAAATTTGGAGTCTGCATGATACTCTAATTTCATAAAAAAATTAATTGCCTGACACCAAACTATTTTAAAAATGAAATAAAATACCCTATTTAAAAAATATACATTTTTTTATATGCCATGCAAAAACACAACACCCTGTATATCCATAAATATTTTTAAAATATGTATTTTTCAAATCCATATAACTTTTATATGAAACTTGTTTGCATGCTATAACACAAATTGAAATATTGAACAATTGCGCACTAATGGAACACCCTGTATATACGTAAGAGGTAAGTCTGGCCCATTTTTAGAAGATTTTATCTACTGAAGTGGTTATTATATTCATTTTCACTAAACATGTAATTAAAACAAAATATAAATAAAAACTAGGACTCTTAAAGCAAAAAAAAAGCAAGCATTGAAGATACAATAGGTAAAAGTAAAATAATTTTTTTGAGAAATATCCTTACCATTAAAGCTTCAATGATGATGGCACTGTGCGCCCCACGAGCTTGTGTCGGCGATGTATACCAATGAATCAATTGACAAAACAAAGGTTCAAAAATTTGCCTTACAACTTGATCTACGTCACAGCCCAGTTGCAAAAGAGGCATTGCCAGAGTTTTTAGCATATTATTTAACTCTCCTAAACCGGCAGTACTCATTTGCTTGGCTAAAATAGGAGTTCATTATGTTTTTAGTGATGAAAATTTGTCAATTCAGATAAATGCTTGATATTTGATACACCAAAGATTTATTTGAATCAAAATTATATACCAAACAACTTTTTTTTCATGAACATAGTATTTTTTTACCTAGAAAAGTGCAAAAAAAAGTTATTTGGTTCATGATTCTTACCTCTGCCTAGAAACACCATAACGCAGGCTTGTAATAATTCGCAAGATATGATTCTGGTTTTCCTATCGCTGCTATATAGAGCCAGCTCAATAATTCTGGGTAAAAAGGTATCCAAATACATATCCAACTGCAAATCTTCGTAAGGTAAAGTCAGCTTCAAATGAGATCCCTGACCGGTGATCAAATTGTTAGCGAAACTACCATCAGAAAATATGAAATTCTGGCAATTTTTCAAACTCTGTCTTCCGATAAAACACAGCATCTTCCGTTGGAGCTTCACCAATTCGGGTTCAAGTTCTTCCAATACTTTTCGTTTTTTCATGACTTGCACGGTTTTTCGCCGTTTTTCGTTCGATTTGGAAACGTAGCCTTTAAAGAACTTGCTTCTTAGGAAACTGTCCAAACATGGAATGATTTTCGATAGAAGCGGGTCTAGAGTATCTGGAGAAATATTTTCCTGCCAGTATTCTAAAGTATCGATACCCATCTCGGCTAAAGGTAAGTAACTGCGACCTACTTCAAAAATATTAGTAAATGGAACGACGCAAGAGGGCAGCATAGGTTCTATAATCTCGACGGGGGTTTCTAGCAATACCCTCAAGCAGGAAATTAGTAAATCGTCTTTAAATTCCGCCATTTTGTTCAGTAATATCGTAAGAAACGATGTTAAAGTTTCACGACAGTTTATGATATCCTGTCTTCCACTTTCGTTGTTAAATAAAGTTAAATTGCGGGATATTTTGAGACAAAACGACAGCAATTTATAAAAACCGCTTATCAATGGATATTTTAAACATTTCGAAATTAAATGGTCTATCATCTTTGTGACGCATTTCGTAAACATTTTCGGTTCGATTTTATCGAATATATCTTCATAAAAATCTACTACGTTTAAAAATATTGCGTAATCGTTGATTTCTTCAACTTTGTAAGCCTTTTCTAATACGGTTACAACGTTATTTTCGTCTTTAAGACTTACAGAAACGTTCAGTTTATTAACTAAGATCATTAAACTTTTGATTAGTTCATTAATTACTCTTTGTAATATAAATTTTCTATCTTCTAAGTAATATTCGTATCTGTCAAATTGACGGTTCGAGGTTAGTGCTAAAACTCCTCGCCACAAGTGATAGTAGTTCTTGACTGTCACTAATTTTTGAGCGGATTGATCAGTGAAAGCTTCGGCTGCTACATGTTGATGCGAACAAGACCATACTACGCCTAAAAATATTGATATTTTTGTAACATTGGCATATTTAGGGTGGCGTATAATAAAAATTGAAGGATCTAAGCAACTCATCTGCAATAATGGTTCTAAGAGTTGTATTCATGAGATTAAATTTTCCGACTTACCTTGATACACAACGTTCTCCAAAAATGTATCAAAACAATGGGTATTCTTCAAATAAAACAACGTTAAAACCAAAGAATCTATGACCAGACCGTGATACAAATAAGGCAACTTATGAAACGATTTGATCATACTTATAACGCCTTTTTGCAAACAATAAAACTGACTAGCCGTAAATTCTTTGAACCTCATGAAATTAGCAACGGTTTGTATGTAATCAGGAAGGTACTCGCATTCCTCATTTTGCGGATTGTAATCTTGCATGAAGGTATTTTCGAAGATTTGCATAATGACCAAGAAAATCTCGCTAACTTCATTGGGATCCAAGTATTTGTGAGACACGGAGGAAAATTCTCTTAAACAGAAAATGGCGGAACGTTTTTCGTAGTTCGTGGAATCTTTGTTGTTCAAAACTGTTTTGCAGTAAGTTATGAAGTACTAAAAAAAGTTAAATCAGTAATTATGCGTATCTGATCAGAGTACCTATTCTTCAAGTTGAACGATATTAAAATTCTGATGCTTCATCTCAACTTTTACATTTTTAAAAAAGCTTAAAGAACTTTGGGATGAATTCAGAACATAAATAACTTTTTCCAAATCAACTTTATTTTAAAACGCGATATTTCAAAAATGACGTTCTGATTGGGCCTGACAAAGGCAGGCATTTCTCACAATGTCCTCCTAGATGTGATGCTCTTTTACAGGTTTTAACCAAGAGAAGTTCCTTCTTACGATTTTCATGCGAAGTGATCATATACTTCAATTTAAGAGAACAGCTGTCAAATATCGCATGAAATGATCATTCTCTCAACTGGAGAATAGGGCCCCTATAGGCAGAACAGATTGGCAAAAAATGAAAATGTTTGTTTCTAAGCTGCTAAAATAATTTAATTTCTTAACTTAACTTTAAAAAAATACATATAACAAACATAATACATTTCTTGCCCACCCGCCATATAAAGCAATGAAAATAAAATATGTTTTTTTTTTGTTTATAATTACTTGGACAATGTCTTTACATCCTTCATCATTCTTTTCTTCTAGAACCTTAGAGACCGTTTGATAGAACGATCTCAAAGCACTTGATCCAACTTTTTTTTCATCGAGTCCCAATTGCAACCAAATCAGCAGCTTTTGATGCCAAAATTGGTAATCTTTTAACAAGTGCTCTTTGAAAAGAGAAGTATACGTTGCAAAAAACGTTATTGCCGCTGAAATAAAGTGGTTTTTACCATTTTAAACGGTTCCGTTTTAAATTGTCTATAATTAAATCTGTTCTCTCTTTAATTGGCGCCCAACGTGGTAAATACGTTACAAAATGGCGTATAAATGAAAAGCTACATGACACAAGAGTTTATTATAAAAGTGGAGCCAGATAGCTTTAAACTGTCCAATAGCAAGTGTCTTGTAACATTTCATTTGAGAGATATTTTGATTTTCATAATTTGTAAATCAAGGGTGGCTCCAAGACGAATTTTTGGGGGGGGGGGGGCATTGCCTTTAGCCATTCCCCTTTTAACATATTAATAAAAGGCTCATAAATCGTAAGAATTTTCATCTCGGGGGGCTAGCCCTCCTCCTGGAGCCGCCCTTGTTTTAGATACTAATATTAACTTCATTATAACTCTAGAATTTCATTCATATTTTCTGGATGCCTAAGAAATGTACTACTTATAATTTTCGGACAAGAATATCTCAAAAAGTAATATTGTTAAAAAATTCAAAGTTTTGGAATCTGAAAATAGGTAATACTATTTATAGATGCTCGTATTTTTAAATTTCAATTCCTTCCTGTTTTTGAGGAAAAAAGAGCTGTAAATTTCAAAATATAATGAAAATAGATTCCTCAACAGCACTAATTTAAATATAATACCCAAACTTGAACTACCATTCTATTTACGATTTAGAAGAAGCAACACGAACGAGGTACGTGTGGGGTTTTATATTATATGCAGTTATCAACTTATATGAGGGCTGGTACATAAATATTTGCTGAGATTGCTTTGAAATAAACGATATTTTAAGTTTGAGATGTAATTTTCAGATGTATATGTGTATGTTAATTTGTAATGTAGTTGTTATCACAGCACTAAAGTGATATCAAGAGAGAAAATGTACTGAATGTTCTTTTTGGATTGGAAACATAGTTTTTCAGAGAGCGGGATGTGTTGAATGACAACTGAAGAGAAAAAAGTTCCAGTATAAAAAATGGTCAAAAAAACAACTTAACTAATGATTAAAAAAGATGAGTGAATTGAGACTGTTGTTCACAAAGGTGCAATCATTTTCTTTTCTTGTGATCGGATAGGAGTTAAGTTTTTTAGGGTGGCACTTTGGTCACTTTGGTATATATAAATCAAAAAAAAAAAAACAAAAAAAATACAATGACCACGAAATTTTGGGACAATCAAAGACAAACCAAAAAGAGCAAAACCCTTTAATAAGTTTTTAAAAATACCTAGCGGATTCTGCTGTATATGTTTTTGACCAATATCTCAAAATCAGTAAAACTGGATTTATCGGCATTTGCGTGTTGGCTCCGCATATGTAATGAAACGGCAACACTGTTTAAGACCATAATAGCCCTGCCTTTCTGACAATATATGGGTTATAACTTATTGGTTTGCTGGATGGAGTAACATTTTTGACATTCAAAACAAGTTTTTGACATTTGAAACAAGTTGTTAACATTTAGAACACATTTTTGACATTTGAAACAAGATGTTAAAATTTAGAACACATTTTTGACAATTGAAACACGTTTTTAACATTTAAAAAAAGTAAATCAACTGGAACTTTTAAATTTAATTATGGTAATCAAATAAGTATCATGTAGAAAGTTTACCTCTAGTACTTCTAATTGGTTGGCTGAAGTAACATTTTTTGACATTTAAAGCAAGCTTTTTGTTTTTGACAGGCGCTTTTGACAACCTATAAGTAATATTTTATATATTTTGGTGGGGAAGTGATTAATAATAATAAAAGGTATTTATGCAACCAGTTACAAAATGTTTTTATTTTATGTAAATAGTGATTATTTGTTGGAAGAGCAGAGTGAGATCCCACAACATACACAAGTTACATAAAAGTTCTAATTTTGACTAATTATTTATAAAATTGTGTTTTATTAAAACATTACTGACATCTAGGCAACCAATATTACTTTATTGTATTATTAGTTGCATATACATTTTATTGACAAATAAAAAACCATATTAATTATTTATTCTCAATGACTTGTGGTATGTTAATATCGCTTATTAAAGATATTTCATTTAAAAAAAAAAAATGGGTTGTTTTGTCATGTATTGTTTTATTTTATGCTAATTTAGAATGGAAAATAAGGTCCAAAACAACATTATTACTAGGTTGTAATTTTAAGCAAATTTTATTTTTATTGAGTCAACTTTCTCTTCTTTGATATAAACTTGCAATAATATATTGATTTTAAAACAACAAACAGTTTATTTTTATTTGTTTTCTTTTCACAACTGATGACAATTTTTTGTAACCAGTTTCATAATGTTCAACATTATGCAACTGGTGGCACAAAGTAGATCATTTTGACACTTTCTGCGATTACAAAAAATGTCACTTAATATGTCAACATTAGAAAGTTGTATTATTTATAGTATACAAATAAGCCTGAAGGTAGAAAATTTACCTCTATTTCCTAGTTTTAACCGGTCGTTGATAACAACCAAATGTTTAATATGCATGTACAATTTCTCCACAATTTTTTTATCTTCTGTTGGATTCAGGGGAAAACTTTCTAAAAAGTCTGCAAATCCTGTGTAGAAACCGGATACGGCATAATGAGACATTTTTGTCTGTATTGAACAAAGCATATTGAAATTTTGCCACAAAATCTGTTTGAGCTGTTTGTGGTCTTCTATTATGAATGAGAATTTTTTAGCAAGGTAACCTGCTAGCGTCATCTCTTTGTCTCTAACTAAAAACATTTTGTTATATAGATATCAAGAGAAAAGAATTAAGAATTTTTTACCTGTATCTGAAGTTTTTTGCTGCAAAGAGAGTACAACAGATTTACACAAATCTTTATAAACTGGAAGGGCGTGAACATCTACACATCCTTCACTTTTTTCTAAACTTCTTTTGACCAAATCGAACATTTTGGTCTTTATCTGAGCTTCTGCAGAAGATCTTATAACACTGCGAGCCAAGCTATATAAAGAAAGTATATCTTTCTCAGATAACCTGGAATAAAAGTTGTTTAAAACTGCGTACAATATTTCTAAAGCTTTGAGACATGGTTTTTTGAATTTTTTGAGCTTCCATGATTTATCTACAAAGTTTAATAAAGAATTTGATGTGTGGTAAAAATAGGGAATATACAGATCTAAAAAGAAAGCGACGATTAGCTAATATTAGATAATTTAATAAACTAAATAGGTAACCTAATAATTCTGCATCTATCTGTTCTTCAATTAAGTTTCTGTTAAAAGAATCTAGCAGTCTTAAGGATTCTGATGGGCCATTTTCTGGATCTTGAAGGCTCTTAGTCACATTCGAGAAGAAAATTTGCGGATCTAAATCCATTGTAATTTTTTTCTTATAACTATTATTTCCATTAATACTTCAATAATGAAAAAATCCTAAAACCGCCAAGCCAAGCCAAAACAAAAACATAACCTAGAACTAGACAGTTCGACATACGTCATAATTTTCAGGGAGTAAAAAAATAACTTTTTAATCAATAAAAAAAAGACCAGTTATAAGAAAAAAGAATAAGTCTAGCCTTGTACTATATAACTTAGATGGATAACCTAATTGGCCTTCTACTATATAACCTAGACAGATCGGAAAGCTTTAGTCCAATGTCCTATACAGTTATACAGTAAGGAAGAGAATTATTTTCTAAATTTCCACGAATTTGCAACCCAACCTCAAAATTAAAAATGTCAATGTAAACAGACAAAGTAATTTTATTTATTCATACTTTATGTATTAGTAAATACTTAGTTATAGTGTTAGGGTTTAGAATAGCTATTCTTACAATGAGTTCAATATTAATTTTAGCAGTATTATTGGTACAAGCTTATTGTGATACTAACTTTACAAAAATTAATCTTCCTAAAGAGCACTTACCCTATTATTTCAGAAACTTTCCTAAACAAGCTATTAAATGTTCGGAATATGAAAATTGCGATTTCAAACAATATTTAAATAAAGATGTTTGTTGGGGATATGAATATGATTGTGAATGGGATAAACAGTACTTAAAACCGTCTTGTCCTGGTGACCATAAGGGTTGGGTAAAGACGAAAAAAGCCCAAGAAACTACTTTTCATACCCAAGCAGATTTCGGGTACGTTAAAGAGCAACTAAGGTCTATGAAATTATTATGTGAGCCCTTGTTTCCCGACGATAGCTCCTTAGAATGCTCTGAACATTTACGTTTCTGTCGTGGCCGCAATCTAATGATTAATTTCACAAAATTGGCATACAGAGAGGATCCTATTAGGTACAAAATGGACGTTCTAGGCGAGGGAGATATTGGAGGATATTGTGATTTGAAAAAAGATTTGTTAGACGAACGTGCAGATCATATAAGTCCACTGCAAAGTTGGGGGCCTGAAATGAGGTTTTTTAAGGAGTTGAAACATAGGCCTTTGGTTGAAGGAGACTGTGATGTAATTATAGAAAAACCTACATATATTATGAAGATTGATGCTAGTAAGTAGGAAATATTAGCTGGTTAATTTAACATAAAATTTTTGCTTTTTTATGAGTTGATTGACTTGCTGAGTTCAGAAATTCAAGTCCAATTACTCTAATCGCGCCGTTACTAATTTCACATCACAAATTTATAATGATTAAAGCTACAGTGACATTTTTGGAAGGGGAAGCGTTTGTATAAAAATACAGCAGACCAGTAAGCACAGCGTCGCAGTCGGAAATTTTACGCGGCGCGTTCACCATTTTGTCAAAATCTTGCTTTTTTCCTCAGAACTACTGATATTCGAGATTAAGATTTTTGAAGTGAAAATTATTCAATTATTACTTTATTACCTAATTTAGTACTGGAAGCTATAAAAAAACTTACCATTGAAAAGCTTCCTTGGTTTATTTAAACGTAAAAAAAAAACATTTAACTGAAGTTTTTTTTTTATTTTTTGCAGCATTTTTCCCACAGTTGACATTTATTTATACTTAAAATCTATTCGCCTATCCTGAATGGCTGCAAATTTGTTTATAACATCGTCGTAAAATTTTGAATTTTCTGATAACTGTTTAACAAGCTGTTTTTCAATGGATATTGGGGCTAAATTAGAGGGTCTGTCTTCACTTGTTGAATTTCGTATAACTTTTAATGCGCTTTAAAGCTGAAAACTTCGTTCAACTGACGCACTTGTGGCTGGGATGGTTAGTACTAATTCACACAACTTGATGACTTTACAAAGGGACTTATTTAAATCAGTTGTTATAAGAAAATTTAACACATTGATGGGCGTCTTTTTATCACTAATTTTAGTTGTTTCATAAACAACACTTAACTGGGACTTTAATGCTGGAATATCGAAAAAATTTCCATCATTTAATTTTAGTGAATTAAAAGCTTCCGATGGAAATTTTGATGAATCGTAGTTACTAATATAAAATTGCACAATTCAACAAATTTTAATTCGTTAAAGTTTTGAAATCGTAAGTGCTTGTTGTAAAACATTAAAAATCTCGGCGTATAATCGACGATATGAGGTCTCTGTCGCCGACATTATTTCTAATTCTCTTTCTTTCAGGTTCTAAGCCAATGTTTTGAGTCTTATTCCAAAAGTGTTCAAACTGATCTCTTTTTTTTATTCATTTTATTTTTAAAATCATCAATTTGTTTAATGCAACAGCCAATGTCATTTGAATTTGTCTGTAAAATGTCAGTAAAATGGAAAATATCCGCAAAAATGTTGAGCAAAAACTGAAATCAAAGTTTTGTTTGAACCAATGCAAATACCCTTTAGCGGCAGTAACAGTTTCAGCATCCCATGTTTCTTTATTGTCCCAAACGTCTTAAAAAAAGTGTATCAAAGAATCACGGTATTGAAACACTGTTTGCAATAAACGTCCATTGTAGTTTAATCGCGTCGGAGCTACTTTTGGAAACCTTTTTTGAACGTGGATGTCCAAAGCGCGAGTTCTTTTCGATGACTTTGAAAAGAAGGAAGCCACACCACCAAGCGTCAAAAATAAAACTTTGCAATCTTTAATATTATCCATGCTTCGCGATAAAACCAAATTAAGTCTATGTGCTATACAGTGAACGAAAATTGCATGTTTAAACTTCTCTTTCACTTTAGCTTGAAGGCCTCCTAAATGGCCAGCCATTACGGCAGCACCATCGTAGCTCTGGGCAACAAGCTTAAAACCACATTCTAAACTTGAAATAATGTCACAAACAATTTTAAACAATGCATCTGCAATTCTTTCGCTAGTGACGTCCAAAAATCCAAAGAATCACTCTTGACGAATGCCATACATATCGCACAACAATGGATAATTGACTTAAGTTTGCTACATGTGTGGTTTCATCAAGCGCAATTGATACGAAAGGTGCTTTTTTAATTTCACTTTTATTGCGATCCAACGTCGGCAGTGCATTTAATTAAATCATTTTGGATTCTGTTTGAGGTACCTCGGAAGGTCGTCGAATCAATGATTTTTTAGGGCATCATCGTATTTTGCTAAAAAAAACTTAGAAGATCCATATAATTTCCTCGATTGGCGGATCCACTTGCTTCATTGTGACCCCTAAAACTTAGTTCATGCTCTCCCAGGAAACATGTTACATCTATTAATCGTTGCAAGACGTCCCTATTTTTTACCCTTTCTTGTGAATTTTGTTGCTTATTTTTAAATGATTGTCCAAACTATGTTCAATGCGATAGGTCCCGAATGTTTTTTCTTTAATTGTAGCACTTATGAGATTTGCTATTTACGTGTCGTTTTACACTTTTGTGAAAATTATTCAAGTCTGTAATACCGACTGAGTTCCAATGTGTTTTTTCGGCTATATTAAAAAGTAGGCAAGGCCAGCAAAACAATTTCTTTAAATTTTTGCAGCCGGTTAACCATTAATACTTTTCATAGAATCCTACGTAAAAATGCCTGGTAAATTTCTTTGCTGACTTTTCTACTTTCGTCTCTAAATTGATAGGATCCTTTAGTCTACTAGAATTAATAATGTCCATTTTCTCTTAAAAATGTCTACTTGAAAATCCTTTTTTAATAAAGAGCACACAATACAGACAATTTACCACATTATTATTGTTCACAGGCACAGTTTCTCCATTTTATAAAAAGAAAAACAACTACGAAAAACAAACCGAAATCTATCTATCTATCTATCTATCCTCACACGTCGATTCGCGGTGCGAATTGCAATATGCGTAAGGCGACGTAAAAATCGCTGCTTCTCGACCGTATTTCACGTGTCCAAACAGACTGACTACTGTCGCTGCAAAGCAGGGTCAATAACACGAAGCGAAATCAATTGGAAGATGAGCCGGCTTTTTTAAGAAGCGCTTCCTCCGACAGACTCAAAGTATATGGTGTGATGTGTGCGTTTACACAATTAATTTTCTCATGGGTGGTGCGTGCGTTTACACATTACACCAATGAATTGTTAGTACATTTACGAAGTTTACGTAATGTTTCAGAGAAAATATAGTACCTAATTAATTATTAATTTCTACGCATTGTAAACTGAAAAATATTTATTTTTAAATCTCAAAGTGTAGGGAAGCGGTGCTTCCCCCGCTTCCATGGACCGCACGCCCCTGTTAAAGCATGAACTGAGTTGGATTGGAATAAATAATATATAATATAATTGCCGAACTCGCCTGGAGCGGCACTCCGTAACTAGAAATATGAGAAAGGCAAGAGGTCTTTTCTCTATCTCGACTTCTTTTCACGATTTTCTACTCTGTAACTCTCTTCAACTACTTACGATTAAACCGAACATGTACGATTGTCCCTGGGAAAGAGATCGCTAAGACCTCGTCGCTTAAGAATATGTCTCGTTTTAATGTATGGAAGAGGTATAACTCTTTCTTTGTTTATATTAAGAATTTGATTTGGCAGTTTTGTTTTGACATTTTAAGTTTACTTTATTTTTATGTGGATTGTCAGTTTGTAATTAATCAATAAACAAATTCTGAACTAAATCTTTATTTAATCTAAATAATTCTTTGAATCAAACATCAGGAAGGCCGAATGGATCACTTGCATCCCTCATTACCTTTTTAGCAATGCATAGTTCATATTTTTGTTGATCATTTTGGACTTCTTGCATCACATGTCTTATGACAGGATTCATCTTAAAGTTAAAATATAACTATTATACACAAATTACATAAATTATAAACTTGTTTTCATTAAATAAAAAGTCAAATTACTGGTATATTCTGAAATCACTTTTATTTTCTCCACTTACCTTTGAACACAGGGTTTGCTTTGAATTAGTGATAAATAAAAGTATTAAAAAGCAGTCGAAAATGAACTTTGATCCAGAATAATCAATGGCGTAATACTATTTTAAGAAATTCCACGTTCAAAACAAATCCAAATTTATGTAAAAAATTGGGTTTCTCTTTTTATTTAATGTGTCAAATAGAAGTGAAGCCAACAGTTTTAGGACGAGTAGTTCGTTATTTTAGAAATTTCTCTTCGCGACGAAAACTCCCGATTCACTCCGAATTAAATAAAGAAATTGCTACACAGTACAAATTTCGATACGGAAAAAAAGAGGAGATTTTTCTCTTCCCTTTCTCTATCGTTCTCTTCATTGCAATTTGATACGGAGTGCCACTCCTGATGTCACAATATTACAATGTTGCTATTAGCAAAAATACAAATATCTGTATGATTAAATATTACTTAACTTTTCAGCAGTAAATATGTATCATCATTATTGTGATTTCCTAAACCTATATGCCTCTCAACATCTAAATTTATCGCACGAAGACACTTTTTCGACTGACGTACACGTTTTAATTTGGGAAACATTCACCTACAGATCAGCTTTTCAGGATACTTGGAACGCATTTACAGATCACCCAATATGGGATCTGAAAACGTTCAGAGGCGATACTGTGTGTTTTAAAAATGTCGTATTTCCTCTTTTACCTAGAATGATTTTTGGGTTGTATTATAATACTCCTATAATTTATGGCTGTGAAGGAAGTGGTTTGTTTGACGCTTTTTCCAAGCATATTTTACACAGACTGCGTGTACCAGAGCATACGAGGTTAAACCAAAAAGTACGGGTAACTTTGTTATCCAGGAATACAAAATACAGAAGGATATTAAACGAAAATGAATTGATTGAGGAGCTGGAAAAAGTGGACGATTTGGATGTACAGAAGGTTGTTTTCGATAGGGATATGACTTTCAAGGAGCAGTTAGAGGTTTCTAGAAATACTGATGTCTTCATAGGCATTCACGGAGCTGGGTTGACACATCTGTTATTTATGTCTGAATGGGCTGCTTTATTTGAAGTGTAAGTAAATCATTAGTATTCCCATTGTATATGCCTTAAAGATATTTTTCAGATATAATTGTGAAGATAGCAACTGTTACTTTGATTTGGCGAGATTGAAAGGTGTTAAATACATTACTTGGGAAAATAAAGACAAACTGACAACAGTTGATGATGTAAGTCAATGTTTTACCTTTAATTTGTCGATTAATTTGTTTTTTGTTTTAGGGATCATATTCAGGTGGCGCCCAAGCAAAATTTGTAAATTACAAATTCGATAAAGATGAGTTCGTAAGGCTTGTAAAAAAGGCTGCAAAACATGTTAAAAGGCATCCAAAATTTTTGGAATTTATCAAAAATGTAAAAGAAAACGGCCATGATGAATTGTAAACTTTTATTAAAAAAAACGACCTATTTTATTTTCTAAAGTAACTAACTGATTAAGCTTTGACTAAATTTAATTAACGATGTTTTTATTTTTAACTTATCGCCCAGTGAAATAATTTTTTGTTGCTTTAAATGTGCCACAGTTCAATTTTAATGCCATATTTTTAAATTAGAATTATTTTTGCAATATTAGATACAATTAGGAAAAAAAAATAGAATCTCTAAAAATGTGATTTATTTACAACTTTTTATACACAATTTTATATTTTGTTAAAAATAAACATACAAAAGTACAAACATTGACTTTGAATTATTAGACATCTTCAACAATAATAAAACGTACTGGCTAGCCGACCGCCGGCGGTAGTTGAATTTAATAAAACGAAAACCCGTCTTCCGGTGGCATGGTCTTCTGACATATAAGAAAGCCGCCGAAAATCTAAATTGATTTGGTTATGAGGGCGGCAGTATTGATAAGGCCGCCGGACGACGGTCTACTGTATTTGAAACATTAAATGCCACCGGAAAAAACTCGCGTATCGGGGACAACACTAAATGAACAAATAATAATAATGCCGTAACAACAAGAAGACGAAGTAACGACTTCTCACCATAAAATTTCAATCCATACCTGGTTACGCCGACCGGCATAAACACCATCTACTCTGTCAAAAGGAGACCGATGTACAAATAAAACGCGTACGACATATGATCATTTGCCAGAAAAATGTAGACGATTTTACAAGTATTTTTTCTTACCACCGGCATTCAATGTTTTAAATACAGTAGACCGTCGTCCGGCGGCATTTTTCAATTCACTGATAGCATGCCGCCCTGATCAACAAATCAGTTTAGATTTGCGGCAGCTTTCCTGTATGAAGAAGACCATGCCGCCGGAAGACGGTTTTCTTTTCAACAAATGCAAGTACCGCCGGCGGTCGGTTAGCCAGTATGATAATAAAAACGAAACATACAGCCATGTTCTAAAAGTAATAGGTAGGAATACATAATGATATATTCATAAACCTGACTTGGCCAAGTTAGACTCTTGATATATTCCGGGAAATTGAGAGATGTACAGTAACAAATCCATAAGTGTACTATTTTTAAATTCCAGTGAAAGTCTACAGTGTTGTCAATTAGCAGATAATTTTCTCATACAGTTAAAAAATGGATATGTTGGACAATTAAGTAATGTGATAAATTAACTCAGAATTTAGACTACAGCTCTATAATTATGTAGTTTTTTGAACGGAGCGAAGACACATTTTGGTTTAACAACACTGTCGGCTTAACAAAATATTAACTTTAAGCACTAGAGATGTTTTGAACAGTGAATTTTGGTTTGCCAGTCTACAAGTGTCAGTGATTTTAAAGTAACGGTTATTCTAAGTGGTTACCAGTGATTTTAATAATAATCATAATCATCAGCTTTGCCATAAACAAGAAGTCTTTATCCAAAAATAAACAATAAAATTAATGGTATATTTTTTATAATTAACCCTGATTACCCTAACTACCTCAACTTGTTTGAACAATGCTGTATATTTTAACAAAAAATAATGTACCTACTACAATTTTATATCATTATGATCATAATTTATTAATAATAACACAGTGTGTATTTAAAATTGCTATAATCTACTTAAAAGCTAATAAGAGACTTGGAATCAGTGCAATACTTAAAATCTATTGGTCGGAATGTCAAATCTTTAATGAATTTAAGGATTCAGTAGGAAATGTTTTTCTATTAAAAAAAATATCTAAAACTTCAGCTGTATGCCTTTGGCATACAAATAACTAACCACGAGGATATTGATAGTCATGTACCCCACAACGATGGTAAATGCTTGAAAGTCACTGTACTCTCTAGTATTTATCACTAAATTGACAACACCTGTCAATACATTGGCGACTAGAAAAAATACCAATCCATTGTAGTTCACTGCTTCGTTAATGTAAGGTACTTGTACAATATCGGTGCGAAAAAAGGCTTTTTGGCACACCTGAACCAGATAAAAAATCGTCTGACAAAAAATACCCAAAAACAGAATCCAACCTATATAAGCCCCATTCGCTAAACGTCTAGATATTCCAAAACAATGCTGGAAAACCACAGAAAAACACAGAGACAAACACACTGCTATCAAATGTTTTCTAAACACCTTGAAAACAGATTGATTCTTATCTTTTATGTTAAGTATATACCCAAAATAAACAGAAAACAGATACAAAACAACGAAGCCCAATGAAGAAACAATTCCCTCCTTATTGGCTTTAAAAAAATTATCTCTAGGGGAATCTTCGAAGACGAATTGCTTCAAACCGCTTTCTAACAGCATTTCATGTGCCATAAGAAGCATTAGAGCATTCATATACATATGCTTAACGTTAAACACATTTAAGAAAAATGATGTAAACACTTTCGTCACCCCTAAAGTTATAAAGAAGTTCCAATGCACTCCATATTCAGACGCTGGGACATGGTAATGGAAAATCCGTAGCAAAATGAATCTACCTATGCCTATAATTAGGAGGGCTAAGGATCCTTTAATCGATCTAGTAATTGGATTTCTAACCCCCCGTGATTCTGGTGATACAATCCCATTTGCAAATACGTATAATCCAACTCCTGTATCCATCAAACTGTAACCTAGCGATTCAGTTTTAGCGAATCTAGATGGAAAAGCATCGAAATCTACAGCTAAAATCGCTATCACAGCTAAAACATTTATAGTAGAACGACTATTTGTAATAAATTTACTATCAAAAACGATATTTTTTCTTAACTTCATTGTCTTATGATAAAACCATGTAAGAAGAAACATACTAATTAGTAACATTGTATACAATATCATACCGGGATATTCTGATAATAAAGTCATGCCTAAGATTTCAGGTAATATTATTAAACACATTTCCAACATTAAACAAACATTCTTTTTCAATTGGAAATGTGTTTCTATAAATACAGTGATTAATGTGTAAAACAGACTGGGCATTATTACTAGGAAGGTTTCAAATCCATTTCTGTTTGCTAATGGAATTGATTCAGTGGTTAAAACTTCTTCATTTACACCTGTATGAGGAAAAAGTTATATAAGAAGAAGCTTGTTATAAGCAAATGTACTTACTGTTCATTTTTGAAATGTAGAGAGTATTAGGTGCTTTTTTAATGAATGCTAAAAGATTTCAAACATTTCTAATTCGTATTTTGAATAAATTAAATAACACATTATTCATACATTGTACTTGGAGTTGAAATAATTTGTCAAAATTTGTTTGTTTTGGTAACCATAGACGTACTCTGAAGAGGAATTTAATTTAATAAAAATCAACTTTAGGCACATCACAAGAAGATAGGTGCTTTGTGTATAGCATCCTGAATAATTCCAAGAATAGTAAGTAAAATCAGATCTTGATTGTATTAAATTTAACATTAACATTTTCTCTATTTATTTAATTAAAACCCCTACACTACAACTATGGTGATAAATGTCAACAATGTCTTCATTTTTTGCATCAAATACTTCAGTTGGAGGAGGCCAAAAAACGAACACTGACGATATTTATATAGCGATTATATTACCAGTTTAGATGGAGACCAAAACTATACAAGAACAGAAGAAGACGTGTACAATCTATTACGTTTAAACAATTTTCTATTACTTTTTTTTTAATTAGAATCTATTCTCAAATAAAAATACGAATTACAAAGAGATACGACTCTATGTAAACGAAAAATTGTCAGCAATATTATATTATCATTAAAGCCATATTTTTACTTTAAATTTAACAATACAAATAAAAAATCTATTACATTTTAATTTTGATTTGGAATTATTCATACATATGAAAGTAACTTTTAATTTAGATGATCAAACAATTCGAAAAAAATTTACAGAAATATACCAAATTTGATCAATTTTTCGTACTATCCATTTTCGTTAAACTTGACTCTTTCGAGCCGATATGTTTTTTAATGAAATTCGAAATTTTTCCCGCCCACGAAGGTTTTCTAGAGACGCTGTTTTCGCTATGTTCTTCTTTTACTTCAGACATGTCGTTCTGAGCTTCCTCGAGTATTTGATCGTTTAAATTTGTTTGTGATCTGTTATTGAATTCTTCAGCTTTGAAGTATGGGTCCCAAGATGAAATGGGCACTAGATATTCTTCTCCTTCGCAGGGAATTATGTCACCGACAAGTGTTACTAAATTAACTAGTGATGGACTTTCTGCTAAATGAGATCCGTCTCCTGGAATAGCTATATCATGCATATCCCATTTGCTTCTTCGTCTTTTAAGAGTGGATTCGCTAATTTTCACTCTTACTAACGTAATTTCAGAATCAGTCTTTTTAATATTGGAACTATTGATACAGTCCCCTTCGTTCAACATCAGCGCGTCTTCGTATCTGTCCATATTTTCGCTTAAATGACTTGGTTGCGAATATGCGTATCTACCGTGAACGGTCGGTTGAACATTGTATTGTCCTAAAAGTTTTCTGGAATCGATTATATCTTCTATATCTTTAAAATTTTCCTCGAATAGCGGATTGAATTCTCGATCGTTCATGACCACGGTTAATTTTTAAATTTTCGAAAAATGTGCGCAAAAATGATATTACTTCGATAACCCCATTTCTGATTAATGTCAATTTGTTGTTGAAACAAACGAGTATGATTTTTTAATATCCTGGGATAAGAAGAAATTATTTTAATTATTCCAATCATTCCAATAAACTTTAGTTGGACATTCATCTTTAAAATAATCCTACATCGCTAATATGAGGACTTTGCTAACTGATATGCCAAATTTATCAGTATCATGATGTCACAACATTTTTTAAATCGTTCGAATATATCCTAAATAAAATTGGGTACAAGAATATTTTTATCTTCATTTTTGAACAGTTTTTGAAAAAAACGCGACCACATAAGAAATGTATAGAACTCCACAATTTTAAATATTTAAAAATAAGCATTTGGTCACAAGTAACTAGAGGGAGCCACGGTTTGAAATAATTGGCCTTTAACTTTTCGGCGATATAACTACAATCAAAAGACTAAACAGCTGTTTGAAGAAGTTTGACATTTTCACTATTTTCAGTTTTTTTCCAGTGACAGTGACAGAAAGGAGAGATAGGTTATCTACAAACTGTTTTGGATTTTTTTTAAATAATGTTTTAACCAGAAATTTGGTCGTTTAACTACAAAACAATGGAACATTTTGAAGACGAAATCAGTAGCATAGACGAAGAAACGGTTTCCTTGTTCAACAATGAATCGTCTTCAGAAAAGAAATCATTGAAATCCGATGATTATAATCATGAATTGGACGATGATATGGAAGATACGAGATCTGAATTGAAGTTCGATAAAGGTAAATTATTTTAGTTTTATTTATGGCAGTGTTTAAAATTGTATTTTAGCTTTGGAGACTGAAGAGGAGACAGAAAAAAGATTGTTGATTGAAGACGCTTTAAGTTCTAATGCTAGTACAGTGAAAACTTGGCAGAATTTCGCTATTACCCCTTTCGGATTAATAGCAGGTTAGTTATATACATGTATCGATTAAAATCTTAATAAAATTGATTACATTTGTAGACGATTTAAGATGCAAAGTATGGCCATTGTTATTAGAAGTAGATCCAAGTTCAAATGAAAAAATACCTTCTCTGGAGGAGTTGTCTAGTCATAGCGAGTATCAGCAGGTAGTTTTAGATGTTAATAGGTCATTGAAAAGATTTCCACCAGGTAAAATGCTATTAAAACGCCAACAATAGTGTTTATTCTCTTCTGTTTTATAGGCATTCCATATAAACAAAGATTAGCGTTGCAGGATCAACTTACTGTTTTAATATTAAGAGTAATTATTAAATATCCACATTTACGTTATTACCAAGTAAGTTTTTAATATACTGAGTGTTAAAATTGGTTCTAAACATTTGAAATCTGATTTTAGGGTTACCATGATGTGGCTATTACGTTCTTGTTGGTAGTGGGGGAGGTAGTGGCTTTTAGGATAATGGAGAAGCTCAGTACTACTCATTTGAAGGAGTGTATGGAGCCAACCATGGAAAAAACTTCTTATAGGTTAAATTATATGTATGCTTTGCTATCAAAGGTTGATGTGGAGTTACATAATTTTTTAGACAGGTAAATTTATTATACTTAAATTTTATACTTTAATTTTGAAGTGCATACTGTGTTTTATGGAGGTCAATTTTTTACCATGCTTTGTTTCTTAATAAACAGGCAAAATTTTAAAATTTCCACAATGGTTAAGAAATATTTTATTTTTATTTATTTAAGAAGAAGAATAAACATTTTATAATACAAAATCAAATAAATTTACAATGAAAAATTATTCTAAAAATATGCACCTAGATGCAAAGACATCTGAATGTGCAATAGAAATAGATTAAAACTACATAAACTTAACAATACCTATAAACTAAACATTTCATGATTAAAAGGATATAAATATATAAGACTAGGTAATTATAACAAATTTGAGAGGTATAAATATTTATCAAATATAAATTTTCTGATCGCTTTTTACGAAAGGTTTTTATGTTTTTTATTTGTCTGATATTTTCATTTAAAGAGTTGTATACTTTTGGCCCAATTGAAGAAATTAATATTTAATTTCCATCATATTTAAAGAATGGTACATTTAGCATTCTTATCTTTTGTTTTCGGGTCATATAAGAGTGGTTTACAAAATTTTTATTTTTCATTTTGAAATAGAACATACCGCTAGAGTGAAAGTATAGTGATCTTACATTTGGAGTGGATTCATTGTATAAGAGGGTTGTTGAAAACAAATGACTTATGATTTATTATCTTTAAGATATAATTTTGAATGATACTTAAAGGATGTAGGGCATTGTCATATAAACCACCCCATACAATTATGCCATATCTAATTAAGGATTCAATGAGAGCAATATATATCAAATGTAATAACTTTTTATTTAGAATGTTACGAATTAAATAAAATTTATGTATAAGTTTTCTTATTTTGTTTGTTAAGTACTGAACATGATCAGTCCATTTAAGATTTTTGTCAACTATTCCCAAATATTTGGCATTTTCCACTTCTTTGATTATGAATTTGGATTCTTCAATACAAATCTGTTTGAAGTTAGGCCTGTTAGCATCTGTGAGTGAGAATGCCATATATATCCTGTTTTCGATATATTTAAAGATAGTTTATTATAATCCAACCAGTCTTTCATAATTATTACCCATTTAACCACTTTTGATTTTACAGCCTCCCAGGTTTTACCTTCAAACATTAATAGGGGGTCATCTGCATAGGATATTGCTATACCATTTATATCTAAGTTTAAAAGAGTTGTATAGATGATAAAAAGAATTGGACCAAGGACAGTCCCTTGTGGCACACCTTTTTGAATTTTAACAGGATTACTAAATTCATTTCTAATTTTAACTATCTGTGTTCTCTCGTGTAGGTAGTTTTCAAAAATTTTTAAAACCAATCCTCGAATGCCATAATGTTCAAGAACATTTAGTAGTTGCTTGTGAGGAACAGTGTCAAAAGCTTTCGCGAGGTCGATGAAAACACATATTTTTATTTTCATTCTCAAGACTGTTTTTTATATTAGATATCAATTCATACATGGTCTCACCTTTTTGGAACCCGAACTGTTTAACATTTAAAATTGTATCAATTAGATATTCGTTTAATCTCTTTTTTAAACATTTTTCAAAAATTTTTGCAAAATTTGTAATCAGACTTATTGGTCTGTAATTTGACACATCTTTTTTGGATTCGTTTTTAAAAACTGGATTTACAATTGATACTTTAAGTTCTTCCGGTATCTTACCTGTTGTAAAGATTAGGTTTATAATGTGAATTAGAGGCTCTATTATGTATTGGTGACCATTTTTCAACATTTTAGATGTAATTCCGTCAATCCCAGGAGCACTGTTATTTTTTAACGAATTTATATGTTCTATTAATTCATTTTTATTGACAGGATTTAGTGCCATTGAGTTGATTAGAGGTGGATATCTTATTAGGAAGTCATCTACAAAATTGATTTTAGTTGCCATATCTATACCAATTTTTGAAAAATAGTTATTGCAGTAGTTGGCCATTTCTTTGTCATGTGTAAATTGTTTATTATTGTTTAGAATATTAAAATCATTGTTTGTTTTATTGTTTCGGTGTTCATTTGAAGCTTCTTTAACTATTTTGAATATTTTTTTAATATCATTGTTACTATTTTGAATTTGTTTGAATTGTATAATAATCATTTTTAGCTTTATCATTTTATTTAGTTGGTTACGATTTATCCTATATTCTCTTAGAAGATTGTTGTTTCTGGTTTTTAATATTTACTTTTTCATTTTCTCCCTATGTTTAATAGACATGATGATGCCTTGACTTGTCCATGGTTTTATTTTTTTATAAATGCCTATTAGTTATATTACATTGTTCTTTTAGAGAATATATTATTTCAATACATTTCTGGCATGCCAAAATTGGATTACTAGAGAAATGACGTTGTCCCAGTTTACATTTTCTAATAATTTTGTAAATCTATCTATATCAGTGTATTGTGTTGTATGTCTGTTTAATGTATTATGGTTTCTTTCGTTTGTTGTAATATTTAAAAAAATTGGAAAATGATCAGTTAGATCAGTGTCAATTACCAACGATTTAAATGAAAAATTTTTATTTGGCATATTATTTTTTATAAAAATATGATCAATACATGATTTCGTTTCTACAGTAACCCTGGTGTATGAATTAATATATGACACAAATCCCAAGGAAGATAACATTGCCAAATATCTATTTGTTATTTGGTTTGAGGGATCAAGGATATTAATATTAATGTCACCAATAAATATATCCATTCCTAGCCTTCTTGGTATATTATTTAAGAAATGTTCAAAATCTGTATCATCTGATATGGATGGAGATTTATAACAAGGCATTACTGTATAGGGCACACCATTATGACTAAATGTTATTGAGCTTTAAACCAAAAGTTTTTAAAAATACTAAAAAGTTGTCAAACATTTTTTTATACTTCTAATATTCAAATGCAAATTTTTTATTATAATCGAATTAAATTACGGGTTTTGAGCTTACATTAAATTGTAATTAGATGAAAGAAAATGGATTCTATGTATTTTGAGGGGATCTTTTCGAAAAAAGGCAAAATAAAGTGTAGCAGTTTTTCGAAAGTGCCGAAATTTTGGATTTTGTGTCAATTTTTCAATTTTGCGCAGGCGCATGTCGGAAATAAATCAATATTTTTAAAACGCAGTTTACGACATTTGAAAGCTTAGGAAAAATGCTAATTTTTATGTCTCTTGAGAAATTTTGATCCGATGCACCTTTCTCGCGGTATGGACGATTGAAATTTGTTTAGTATTTTGAGGCGACGAAGGTCGGAAAATTGAATTTGTTAAATGTTCAAACAGTAAATTCTTTATAACATTGTTAAAAATTAAGATATTTGAAAAACAAAAATGCCTTTTGAACTTAAGGGATGTGACTAGTGATTCCCAGAAGGGGGCAAGAGAAATCCCAAAATTGGGCATATGGCGGAAGGGCAAAATGCACCGCAGTCCTAATTTCATTGTCTCCCTATAACGGCCAAACTATTTGAATTTTTTTAATGCCACTTACAAAGCTTACTCTTAAATGTGAAATCTTATGTGTGTGTGAATTTCACCGACATCGGACCATAATTGGCTAAGATATCAAACAATTAAATAATTTTTTAAAAATTTTTTTTTCGAAAGTTTGAAGTGGCACAAAAATGCACCCAATGGCTCAAAACTTTTTTTTCTGAGTACTCTTTGTGTCTAGAATACGATTACATTACGGAAAATTCTGCAAATATATTTTATCTAATTTTTTGACCACTGTTCATTGAGTGACGACCAAAAAACACGGTTTTTGAGAAAAGTTGCCTAAAATTGACAATTTTTACTTTTTTTGTCTGCAAATTAAACAAACCCAAATGTCATGTCTTCTAAATGTGTATACAAAGTTTAAAGTGTGTATGTTTCTTCTAAGTTGTAGAATTCTCCCGACAAAAGTCCCATTACACGCGCTCCGCGGGATCCAAAACTCGTGTATACACTACATTACTGTAATTTGATTTTTTGCGTTTTCCAGTTTTAAATTTCTTACATATCTAAACTTATTAGGCTTAAAATTTATTAAATTGTATTTTACTGACTTGTTATAAGACGTTTATTGAGTTTTGTGCAAAATATAGAATTACCAGATATTAGCGAACAAAAAGCAAGCTTATCACCAAGTTGGAATTTACACTCAGGCTTAGGATTAATTTCCTAAGGGTCTATTTATACTCCCTTAGTATTAGTATTTGTATTAGTATTATGATTAAGCATTAAATTTGTTAAATCATTCAAAAAAGGTATTTATACTCGTTTTATAATTAGTATTAGTAATTCTTTTTTAAACCTAATACCTAGTAAGATATAATTCTGCAGTCAACAAAATATATGGTTACTGAAGAAATGTGAGGCCGGTTGTGTTCTTTTAAGATATTTGAGTTTTAAATGTGTTTTTATTAATATTTTTACTAGTTAATTAGTTAATATTATTCAAAAATAGTTTTAATTAAGAACATTTTAACGGATTTAAGTCTCAAATTTATAACAGATAAAAAGAAGCAGAAATTTGATACAAATCAGACAGAAAAGAGGCCTTTGCTTCCTCATGGTGACATGTCATTTGTCAACTTTATAATCGGTAAACACTGCTGATACACAAAAATTGTATACAGAGCATGATTTGTACCGAAATATTATCGTTTTCGAGCTTGTTGGAACAAACAAATAAACAACATAATCATATGTGTATTGTCAATTATCCTTATCAGTTGTCTATTAAAAACAAAGGCCAAATACGCCATTGATTCTTTTTATAGAAAAGAAGAAATTTAATATTTAATTTAAAAGTTGAACCTGTCAATTATTAAGCATAAATATTAATGCTAATACTAATCATAAATCGAGTATAAATGTCCCCATTACATTGTGAAGGTTCAACTTAATGCTTAATCATAATACTAATGCAAATACTAATAATAAGGGAGTATAAATAGACCCTAACATTTTTAAAGTATACCTATTTGTGTATTTTTTTGTGCTCTTTTCGATGGCGAAGTTAGTTTTTTCAAATATATTTTTTTTGTTAGATGTTTTCGGAAAACCCGGAAAAAATCATATGGGAAAAAAATTTAAAAAAAACCACGCCTCTGGTTTCCTGCGAATTCCCGAAAAATGATGTCAGATTTCGCCGCGGGACTTATTTTATTTGTGAGCCAACAAAAAAATACGCAACTTCTCTTATGGGCACATATATCTAACATTTATAATTTCGCCACAAATTCATCGCAAATTTCATGTCCATGGTTCTGATCAAAAAAACGAAAAAACGACTTTTTGGTAAAAGCACTTCTGGCGGCGAGAAATTCGCCATTAAAACTACCTGTGCAATGAATTTCCGAACTATTTTTGCCTCCTCTTTCGAATGGTGCATTTATTTTCACTATCTGAATGATACTTGCCCTGATAATTAGCATTTTTACAATGGAAAATTCTGGAAAACCCGGTTTTTCCTAATTTAAAAAAAATTGAAAAACTGCTACATCTTTTTTTTCTTTTTTTCGGAAAGATCACATCAAAATACACAAGGTCCTTTTTGTTTCATCCAATTACAAATTAATGTAAGCTCGAAGGGGCTTTTTTTCGTTATTTAATTGGACTATTAAGGTTGTTAAATGATTATTGCAACTGATAATATTTAAAAAATTGTCTAAGTCATAACGAGAATTTTTATTTAATTCAATCTCATTTTCTTCATTTTCAATCTCATTAAAAATATTTAGTTCTGTTATATCCCTAAAAGAGAGAAAGATTATTTAAATTGTGGTAAATTAGTAAATCTATTATAATGTTGAGATTAAATTAAAACAAAAAAGAAAGCAAAGATAAGAAATTAATTTTCACAATAGGTTGTTTTATTTTTAAGAACCTGTTTGAAATATTTCAGAGTATTACACTCTGAATCAGTGGCGTAGTGATCAGTTGGATAGTTGGATTTAAAATTAATATTTGAATTCTTACAATTAGCACAACACACTTTAGTTTTAGGACATTTTTCTCTTAGATGTTCTTCAGCACAAAGAGAACAGACAATTTTTTTTGTACAATTTTGTTTATTATGGTAATATCAATCTTGTTCTTTTAAATAAAGGTATATTGCAAGAAAATATCCTGTAATGGTAATTTTTTATTTAGTGCTGCAGTAGGCACGATGTTCGCCCTTCCCTGGTACCTGACATGGTTCGGACATTCTCTAAACCAATATAAGGACGTCGTAAGGTTATACGATTTCTTCCTGGCCTCCCCCGAAAACATGTCCATCTACGTAGCCACCTCGTTGGTCATCCAAAGGCGGCAAGAAGTATTCGCTGAGGGTTGCGACATGGCCAGCATCCACTGCCTCCTTTCCCAAATACCCAATAATTTGAACTTCGACGAAATCCTACAGAAAGCATCTGAATACTACAGAAAATTCCCGCCCGAGAAGCTGGAACAGTTGGTGAAAAAGAGGGTGCAGAAAGAGTACGTACCACTTAATTTGATTCTATTCGTGCAAAAGATGTTCTGTTTCTTTAAAAACGCTTTAATGTTTCCTTTATATTTGATGCTGTTCGGTAGTTGGTTCCTTCGTACAAATCCTAAGCACAAATCTTTGTAAAGTTGTTTTACGTAAATTCGTTGATGTCCTTGTTTTCATGTGCCATTTTTGTAAGACATTTAGGTTGTCAATATTTTCCACTGTTTTTCCATACATGCAGTTCCTTTTTAGTCGTAGGTTTGACTATTTCTAGCTATTTAGCACAGAACACTTTTTGGTAATATATTTATTGTGCAACAAACTTTAATTCTACAAAACTATTATTAGAATATAGCATTACATTTAAAGTTTGCTAGTATTTTTCATTACACACAGTTTCTTATATTTTGTAGGTTTTTTTACTTCTATTTAGTGTAGAACACTTTATGGACACAATAATATGGTAATTTTTACAAAATAACACTCATTTTTAATTCTTTTCATCCATTTTTATTTAAAATTTGTTTATAATAAATTAAAATTTCAAAATGTTCAATGGAATATAATTTGGTTATGAATTTCAGAGCTATCGGCCCTAAATTGGATGGCCTTCTTTAATGGTTTTTTTTTATATATATTATAAATGCTTTTTGTCCATTCATTATTTAAAAAAAAAAAACAATAATACATCATTGATAATTATAAATTTATACTTTAATGTTTAGCAATATTTACAATATACAAAAACAATGAATGGAGATAGAAAAATAACATTTATAATTATATAAAAAGAAAATAAAAAACTAACTGAAGAAGGTCATTCAATTTGGGGTCGAACGCTCTGAAATCACAATTAACTTTTGAAGTTTCAATGTAAAACTTAATTTTCAAGAAAATCCCGAAAATAAACAATTCATTCCAATGTTTTTCATCGTTTTACCGAATACGACATTTTTTTTAATCTGAAGGGAAACATTAGTTATTTGTAAAAAATGCATTAAATTGAAAAAAACATTTAAATAAGTATTAATTCAACGAATTTACGTGTACTTACTACTTACTGTTTTTAGAATTTTAACTAATTGTTTCTGTGCTTTCTATTTATTACTATTTTAATTAATAAATGTTGCATTTTATTAGTTTTTAGTTGTCTGTATAAATAACCTTTCTCCTTTAGCTTTAGGCGTGGTGACAGTACAGTAGTTTTTAACTTGGTTGATAGTGTAAAAACGGTAGACTAGCTAATTAAAAAAAAACGCTATGCTTTTTCTTTCTGCAGCCTTTTCACTCTTATCTATCCGTCACAACTGTCATTTTACATGACAATTATGACGCGAATTTGACAGCTTTCGACACAAACCTGTCAAAATCTATCAAATTCTGTCTATAGTCAACGGCACGAATGCATGGCATACACTTGTAAGTACGACATACAACGTAACCTTAAAAACTTTTATCTACTTCGGCATTTTTAGACTCGAGCAGAGGAAGAGGGACGAACAGAACATGAGGAACAGACTAAATAGGAATAAGGGCATTTGGTACAGGGTACCGACTTGGTTAGTATTTAATGGAAAATATGGTCTGCTGTTTGCGGCTGCTACAGTACTGTTGGGATATATTTATTATTTGAGGATCACCGAAGGCCACAGTCCGTTTAGAAGGTCAGTAGTTTTTTCTGGTTTCAATCAGGTTACCTGTAATCAGTGACAGTAATGACATTGACAGCTGTCATTCTAGCATCGATTATTTTATCAAAATGAAACTAAATTTAATATTTTTTTTTAGTTTATTCAGTACATGACATTCGCTGCGTCCCGGAAGCATTAGTTCTATGACACACAAAAGATTTTATACCATTTTTTAATTTATTTTTGTATATTATATTGTAAAACTATCTTATTAAGTAAGGAAATAGATATTGTGTTGATTTATACATCTTTATATTACAACAATATATTTCAAAAAAGAAATGTTTTAATGTACATTATTAGAAAAAGAGGAGACCATCAATTATATAAAAGTTTGTCATTGTGACAGTTTATTTATTAAATTGTAAAAAATAATTTAGAATTGATGTTTATGTGCGGCTTTTTAAAATCGTTTTCTATTAAACGCGCCTCGGTAACATTGAATTTAGCTGTCAAGTGTCAATACGTTGATGACAGCGTGATATTTCTAAATTTATGTTCGAATCGGGTGGTTTTTCGTTGTATCAACCTTTATTGTACCAAAAAAATGTGTTAAGAGCATTTTAGATGTTAATAAGGAATCGTTAAAAATGTATATTTATGGATATGTGCAATTCGAAGTGAAATAAAACAATTTCAGTTCAGTCAATGAGTTTTATTTACAATATAATCGTATTTTCCTAAAATTTGTGTATTTTTGAAAGAATATTGATTTCTATTATATTTGACATTGACAATTAACTTAAAATGTCAGTTTAGACAGCCGATTTGACAAGAGCGACAAATGTAAGATATATTGATTTGTATTTCTAGTGCACAAATTAAAAAAAAGATATTTTTTCAAAAATACACATTTACAAATAATACGACTACGATAAACAATAGATAATATTTGTGCAACAAAAGTATGTACATTTAGATTAATAAGTATTAAAAAAAAACAGTGAAAAGCTTGTGAGACTCAACACTGATGAACAAACAGGCCCTCTAGGTTAATATTAACGAATTAACTATACGAAAAAATTGTAAGTACCACAAGGATCCTGTCCTTGGCCGGTAATTATATCACTAATTCTAGTGCGAAAAAAGTACTAAAAAAGGAAGAAAATAGAGAGTACAAAATATTTGGCACGCTGCAAGGATCCGTTTTAGGCCCCGTTCTATTAACTATTAACGAACGTAAAATCTCAAACCAAATTTATTTCCTAAAAAACTCAATAAAAGTATCACTATCACGTCTTAAATCACATCTTAATAAAATATAAATCTTTAGCTACACCGAAAGAGATAAAAGAATACTCAAAAGAGCTACTGGGGTAAATATGAAGATCATTGAGAGAAGAAAACATCAAAAAGTCAAAAAAATTACATCAAACATCAAATGTCACCTCAAATATTAATAAGACGAATAAAGTATATCGTTTATGTCAAAGGTCAAAAAACATGTTAAATAAAAAACACGTCAAATGTCGTGTATAAACACAAATATAAAAAATGGCACATCGTACATCAAAAGATCGAATAAAAGACTAAGGACCGATTCCACCGTTGTGTAAAACGAAGTTTAAAATGACATTTTTACATTAACAATGTCATTTTAATCTCCGTTTAACACAACGGTGGAATCGGCCCTAACATGTCAAAAAATATCCCACAGTGTGGAAAAAAATACATCAAACGTCAAATGTCGTTTTAAATATCAAAACGATCACGTAACCAACATAAATGTATCTATTTTAAGTCAAACGTCAAAAAAAAGTTAAATTAAAAAATATATGTCAAATGTCATGTTTTAAAAGAACACACATGTAAAAAATGGCACTTCAGATTGAACAAATCGAATCAAAACTAAAACGCCAAAAGATCATTTTAAATGTCAAAAAAGTGCCACAATTTATATTTTTGTAGTATCCATTTTTTTCAAACTAAAGATTCAATCACCACCCTTGATGATAAAGATACTTGTAATAGTAATTAAAGTAGAGTCCGATTACAATTAGAACACCGCTACGTCAAAACCATTACGTCGAATTTAGAATATATATTATCTATATAACTATCAATAAATAAAAAATAAGTAAGTTGTTAGGTATAAAACAATATTTCCTATATGCTTATAATATTAACACTCCACTAAACTCCCAGTAGGCGGCCGGCGATAACCAATTAATTACTTTGCTAAATAATTGTAATCGGACCCTACAAGATAACAATTTAACGTTCCGAGCTTTCTAAACGCTGTTATAAGTTTGACATATGTCATATCTTAAGAGTTTCTATCTCCAAGGTTAAGTTTGACAGTCTGATGAGAAAAATGAGTATAATAAGAAGGAAACTGGACGAATTTAGACAGGAAAATCAAATTAACTACATATACAATAAAAAAAAATAATAACTTGGGCATCTCATTACCACAGGTTGGACAATTTATCCCAAAATGATTCTTTTCTTTTAGCTACCGAGTATTTCTTGATCACCTCCGAGATATACTTTAACATCGTTTTGTCGTGCAATATCTGTAGATGGTCCACCTTGGGCAGTTCCTGGACGAATACTTTTTGTTTTTGGAGGCTTCTCCAGTGCAGGCATCCCTCCAGCGATCGTCTGTTTACTGTACCGTCTCCGTCGCCGTAAATCAGTGTCGGGTAGCCGTCTAAGAACGTGCCAGGCTTGTAGTATAACCTGAAAATGTTTTAGAATTATTTAAAATTGGAAATATTTATCAGGAATATAAAATTACCGTTCTACAGTGTCAACGCTCGAGCCATACAGACAATGAACTTCGACGCCGGGCGGATGGAAATTAATCTGATACGGTTCTGTGTCTTTTCTCATCTCCCAACCATCGGTAAAACCAATTCCCCTTAAAAAAATAGAAATCTTTAAAAAAACTATATAATAAATGCCTAACGTTTTTCTGCCAAACAAAAAAAACATTGACGGATTTTATTTGTCAAAGAGTAGGCAAATGTCAAAGTATATGATTAAAATTTGTCAAAACTTTAGCCAGTCTATTTTCTTAAATAAAGTGATTTAAACGGAACTAAACTAAACAGTTCTTGGTGGGAAATGATTCTAAATCGTTGACAGTGTAATTTTTTTGTCACTATCATGTTTTAAATCACTTCTTATAAAATATAAATCTTTAGCTATATTAAAAGAGATAAAAGAATACTCAAAAGAGCTACAATGGTAAATATAATGAAAATAAATGAGAGAAAAAACATTAAAATGTCAAAAAAATTACATCAAACGTCAAATGCTATCTAAAACATGAAGATCATATACATTATACATTCATATAATTTATGTCAAACGTTAAAGCTTATGCTAAATTGAAAAAAAAAATCATGTCAAATATATTTATATAATTGGATCAGACCGGATCAAACATTAAAACGTCAAAAAATATCCCACTAAGTGTCAAAAAGTCATGTCAAAAGTTACTGGCTTACGTTGAATGTCATTTTAAATGACAAAAGATGTCACAAGTTAAAATCAAACTTTACATATCAAAGTGTCTGTTTACAACACAAGTGCCACACTTTATATTTTTGTATTATCTAATTTTTTTCTAAGAGATTCAATCACTGCCCTGGTAATAAAGAGGTTTGTAATAGTGATTGAAGTACAAGAGAACAACAATTTAATGGTCCCAGCCTCCTAAACGATGTTCTAATTTTGACATCCTTCATATATCTCAAGGGTTTTTATCTCTAAGGTTAAATTCCCTTTAAAACAAATTTAGAACCTGTCAAAAAACTGTATACAAATGCTCCGTTTGAATATCTACATCCGATGCATTTTTTACATCTCAAACGTTTGTTTATCCACTTCGGACACATCTAGGGGAGAAGGTGGATGGTTTGAACACGAGGATGTTTTGAACAATTACAATATTTTCTTATCGTCTGTGAAAATAGGAATACACTGGCAACATTGTCCTCTTCGCCTGTCATTAGGTACGCGGGGATTTACCAGATAATGTAGGTCATTGTTAGGTGAATATATTTTCGTCAAATTCCTTGTTCATTTTGATCATCCTTACAACATATATATTTTTAAATCTGTCAATGGTGTTTAATTGTTCTATTGTTTAAGCGTATCCCTATATATTTGAGGTAAGTTTACAAGACAGTTATATTTAAATATTCATAAGCATAAAATGTAATTCAATTTTTTCTGAGAAAAAGGGCCATCAGGAGGCTTTGAATTACAAGCCCGGGGGGACTTTGAACGATGTTCAAAGCCTACTCAGACTGTTCAAATATACCCATTAGGAAAGAATATTTTGAATTGACACCTAAATATATTTATACTTTAAATGTACAAAAAAAGGGCGATATAAAAGAAAACTTCAGGAAGCCTGGAATATGACCAGTTAATCAGAATGCTTTTAGTGATACAGGCTTCAATGCCTCTTACGTTACGGATAGACCAACTCCAAATACCTCTGAAGAAAAAAACTAGCAATGTGGACACTATTATTTCTTTGCCTACAACTGGTCAATTCATTCCGGAAAGTAACAAAAAGGTTCTACAAAAATAATAACAGATACCCCTGTAAAAGACAGTATTGAGGAAGAAATGATCCAGCGAACTGTAAAAAAAAATTATGAAACAATTACCGAAAAACAAAAAAATGGGATCGTTTTAAAGAAAAACACAGAAAAAGGCAGTATAGCTTAGACAATGAAGTAATTTCTTTATTAGAAAAGAAAATTAAGGAAAATGATAAAAGAAAAGTTGTTAAGAGAAAAAGTTCTGCAGAGCGACAATAGTAGTGCAGAAGAGGATAATATGTCTGTCCATGATAGCAGCACTGATAATGATGACCAAGAAGATTTGGAAGCTTCCGAAAAATTAGCTACGGCAAGCTTAGAAACTTTTATAGTAAACAATTTTGTTCTAGTGATACAAAAAAATATAGTTCACTATGTGGCTCAAGTAGGAGAGAGATTAGATGATTTGAATGGTAAATTTCTCAGAAAATATCTTTTGTTTTCCTGAAATAGATGACTTGTCTCTTATTTCTTTGTAAAGCATTATTTTAAAGTTACCTCAACCCCTTAATCACTGGTGGCACATTGTGAGCTACAAAAATATTCAGATTTAACAATGTGAGTTTTGATAAATTTGATTTAAGATAAAATATGTACCTAAATGTTACTTACCTTAAGTAAATAAATATATTTGGCCTTTTCTGCATATTTTATATTTTAAAGCTCATTTTGGACGTGTTCAAACCCTCCCCTTTTCTGTTCAAAGGCACACCAGCCAAGGGAGGATTTAAACAAATGTTAGATAATTATTTTAAAATTTTAATAAAAGTTAACTCTGGTTTAATAGAAAATATATGTATATTAAGGAACACTGTATGGCTTAACCCACAAAGACTTAATAAAATGTGTTTTAATAAAAAGTTATATTCAAAAGACCGAAAAGTGTTCAAACCCTCTCTCCCCTACTACACCTGCATTTGTTAATCCAAGATATAGCTGTCAGATTACATTTTTTACATCTCTATTTGAAATGAGATGTTTGTTCCATGCCAGAAAGTAGGAGTTCTGTGAAACCAAGTTTATCGATTGTTTAATTTTTGTTTAGATTTCAAATTTAGGTTGATTGCTAGTCTCAAAAGTCAAACTCAAAAAGTATAAACTTCTAATTTGTCATTGTCATTTTTGCTACATCTAGAGCATTTGTTTATTACATCTACATTTAAATATCTAATCATCCTCTACGTGATAAAACATTCACACCATCTCAGATGCATTCGATGTGGATATTCAAATGCAGCAAATACATGCTTAATATTTTTGACGTCTGTCAAAAAAACATCCTATTGACCCATGTTATTAGTCAAAGGGTTAGCAACTGTCAAAGTATTTGACAAATATTTGTTAAACCTGTGAAGACCATATTATTTTCTTAAATAAAATGGTTTAAACAAAACAGTTTAGAATAAAATTTAGTTTTACTATAATACTGAAAAGTTCTTACTTAAAAAATTCCTCTAAATCATTAACAGTGTAATTTTTTTTGTCGGTTTGGACCAAAATCTCATCAGGTTTCCAAAAGAGTTTGGAGGGCAGTAGCCAAGCTAGACTCGGCGAGGTTATTTGTTCAGCTCTCATGATACTTTCCCTTAAAACATAAGAACCCAGATTGTCACCTAAAAGTAAATAAGTTAAAATTGAAGTAATTCAATATAATCTAATTATACAACATTCATATATTCTGAGAAATAAATAATGCATAATAGATCTAAAAATAATTATATTTAAATATTTACCAATGGCATAGACTTTGATAGCCTTCATTGATCCTCCCCAAACTCCATTCAATGTTATCAAACTCTGAATGTATTTATCTTTCCAACTTTGAGACTGACGATTCAAAAAAGTCAAGGACATTGGCCCTCCCATCGAATGGGCTATCAAAATTACTGGAGTATTATTGTTTTCCGTATAAGTATCCTCGATAAGAGTTTTGAGTTTGGTGAAAAAGTCAACATTCTCATCTGAAATTTAATGGAAGTACAATATTTTACAACTTACATAGAAGATAGTACTCACTTGGTGCTTTCCTGAAATCATAAGGTGCCCCTTTAACAGTGACATTCCTTTTATGCCCCAAACCCATCAAAGTATTACTGATATCATAAAAATATGATCCTGTAGCAGCATGGCTGGGATCTAACCATTCAACGGTTTCGGTACTACCCCAACCAGGTACTCTTATTTCTACACCATCGTTGTTTCTCGTTGTACGAGTTTGGTTATCATAAATCAATTTTACGTTATCAATCCAACAATCAATGACTAAAGGAACAAGCAGTTCCATGTTGAGCCATATGTTGAAGAAATCGTTTGTCGTTTTTTGGCAAATATAATGTACGGCGTCCGTTTTATTTAATTTAGCTTCAAGCTGCGCGCCCCCATCACCAGGTATGAACACAATCGGATTTAAGCACCGCACTAGCAGAAAAATCGAGAAAAATATAAGTAATTTTAAATTAGAACGCAAATTCATTGTCACTGGTCGCGATTGGTAATGACACTGAGATTCGCTTCGGACTATACTATTTTGTTGCTTTGATTCAACGGTTATCGTATTTGATAAAAATATTTGCCTTGTGAAATGTTTGTAAACATCGGATGATTTGATAAACGTCATACATACCAGATGATTTTGACGTGAATGTCATCTACACGTGTTTGTTATTATTGTTTGAAAAAAGACGAAACGATTGAATCATATATTGACTTAATTTCGATTAATACATTTTTGTATTAATAATAAACAAATAAAGTAAGTTAGATCATGTCTTTATAATTTATTAGGCATAAAAAAAATATTGATAAAGAATTGTTTTTGTTATTTGGTAAGTGTTCAACTTCCGTCCAATAGATGGCACAAGCAAAATTTTTATTATATAAATTTTTGGTAAAAATTCACTCCTGTGACTCACCCTGACTTCATCCCTGTGACTTACCTTGACTATGGAACTTATTTTTTAATTAATATTCTATAATTTAGTTATTATTATGTAATTATAATTTAAAACTATATTGGATATAAAATGGGGCATATTTAATTATTGTTGAAAGTTTATAAAATGTTTTATAGATGACGCTCCATGTATTAAAACGAAATTTAGATTATCATAAAATAAATAATTACACAAGCATTTGCAATTTATTTACAAATTAACCAAGTTTTAGGTTTTTTTATATATTTTTTTGGGTTAAAGATTATAAAGTGTGCGTAAACATAGATTTTATTTAGTTGGTTTATTAAGTATTATTTGCAACTAATAATTAAATCTAATAAAACTAAATAAACAAAAAAGTACATAGGTACCTATAGTGAGACAATTGAACATTTTAATCCTGATAACAAGAAAACAGACGTTGACAAGTTATCTCTGCGAATTTTTAACTGCGAATAATCTTGTTCACGTTGTGTGGCCCAAATAAATCAACGCCTACTTGACTCGAACGAGGTGTAACCTAGTGTATCAAACGACATGCGATTTTGTCGCATTTGATATGGACGACAGATTTTCTTTTATTTGAAATTTCGACATTTGACGAGTAGTTTATACCGTTTTAGTTAGATTTATTTATTCGCTCAGTGCGAAGTCATGGTAGGGGAAGCAAAAGCGATACTCTAGCTGCGGATAATTCGTGCATTTTAGGGCGATATTTTGTAATTTTGGCATATCAAATAGGTACACGGTAAAATTTGAATATACACAAAACTTTTATACCTATTTTCACAAAAATGTATTTTTTCACTTTTAGACACCAAGAATAACATATAGTTAACAAAATTTGCTGGCGGAAACCTAAAGAAATCCTATTTTTTTTTTAAATTTTAATAATGATATTTTAGGCTATTTTATTAATTCATTAAATTTATTTTGATTGTCATTTGACATTGAAGGATGCAATATAAGAAGCACATTGGTGCCAAGTTGTGTATTAATTCTTAAATAAACGGACTATGTTTTTGATATATTCAAAATTAATATAAGTTGGAATTTCAACAAAATTATCAATACCAATACAGCAACAAACACATTTCGGAAATATTTCAACAATGTTATATTGAAACATTTGCAATGTTGCATAAATATTACGAAACATCGCAGAAACATTTCTGAAATATGCCTGAAACGTAAAAATGTCCCCTAAATTTAATATTTCACAGTAATATTTCTGAAATGAAAATTAGAAATATTTTAGAAATATTAAATAGTAATATTTCAGAAATGTATTTTAGTTTTTTTTTCTAATATACCTATTATTAGACTAAAAAAAGACATTTAAAAATATATAAGTTTATTTAAAATACACAAAACTCAAACACTGATTCTTAAATAAACAAATAAATAAATATGTTTTAAAGAATATTTCATAAAATATAGAAGTGAATTGCTTCATTTCCACCAATTCCTTTAAATGCACTAATTTGAAACAACTAGGTTTTTTTTTTTAATAAATGCTCCAAGTAAAGAAACATTTATGATTATTATAATCTAATCATTAAGATCAATTAGCAATTTTATTTTTACCTAACTTATCTAGGGATGAAAAACTTCATAAACTAAGATTCTACTCACATACAGGGTGTTTCCGAACTTGGCGTCCAAATTTATAGGGGTGGTAGTTCGCATAATTTGAGAGCGATTGGCAGATTTCATTTTTCTAAAAAAATTATAATTAACAAAATAGAGCCATTATAAAAAAAATCAAAGAGCGGGTCCTACCCTGAGCGCGTAGCGCAATAGTCGCTTGATCGGTTACTCATCGGGATTTACAACTGAAAAACAGATGCGATTTGTAATTTTGTCGTACCTGTTTAAAATTTTTAATAAATTTTTAATTATTTTTATTTTAAATATTTTGGAAAAATGAAATCTGCGAATCGGTCTCAAATTATGCGAACTACCACCCCTACAAATTTGGACGCCAAGTTCTGAAACACCCTGTATAGTGTACTTTAGAGTCTAATTATTTAGTTACACTACCGTTAACGTATAACACTTAACCGCACTATATCACTAAACTAACTCAAAAGGCCTGGTTCTCTTGAGTCCTTATTAGATTGGCATTGTTTTGAGCAGCTAGATAATCTCAAGGTGTCCATATTGGTTGGTGACCACTGGCAAATTTTTGTATTGTATTTTCAACAGTCTCCACTTTAAGGTCCCTATGAAAATCTGTATTAGGGCAGTACCAAGATGCATCGACGATGTTCCTTAATACTTTATTCTGGAAACGTTGAATAACTTGGATGTTATTTTTACTGGCACAGCCCCAAAGCTGGCAAATTGCTTCATTTCCGCCAAATCCTTTAAATTCACTAATCTGAAACAAAATATAGGTAATTAAAAAGTATTTATACAAATTATTTTATTAACAATAGTTTTATTAATATTGTTTTAAATTAACTATAATAAAACAATACTCATGTCTAAACAAAACATGAAGATCCTCCTAAGCAAGCATTATTTATGTAGTTTTCACCTTAATTTCTAAAGACATATTCTGCTTTCCATTTGACAAGTTCACAACGCATGAATATCTAAAACCAACAACTCAAATCTACAATTATTTTGAATATAGGCTTGTTTCTAGCTGGTGGCTGGACAGGGACATGATAAATTAAAATAACTACATATCCCATCTTTTTTTTACAAATCAGAAATTCTTCATTAATTGTTGGTCTTTTACAACATAACCTGTTTAGTAACCTTTTGTGTAACATGTATACCATGTTTCAGAAACATCTTCAGTGAAATATTTAATTAAAATATTTCAAAAACTTGTGCTTGAAATGTTATGTTTGAAACGTTTGAAATATTTCTGAAACATTTCTGAAATAATGTGTGCTGTATGGGTACCTAAGCCTTGCTTATATAATTTTATGATTTTTACGTTATTTTCACAAATTTTAAATAATTTTACCAAATTTACCATTTTAAAAGGTATAATTTTGACTAAAGAGCACAAAATTTAAATGTCAGAAAGTATTTATTAGGTATTTTTGTTTTACTCGGGTCAGCTCTGAATAAAAACACCGGCAACACTGTAATTTAAAGAAAAAATCGATTTTCATTTAGAAAATCTAAAGTATGTCATAATACAAATTAACAAATTAAAACATGATATTAACTGCGTCAGTTCATCAGCTGATTTTACTTTATAGTTAAAATGGCTTTTTAATGATTATCTCTTTATTTTTTAATAATTTTACAGTAGATACATCAAAACAAAAATATCGATTTATAGAATATATCGATTATAAACAATATAATTATGTCATCGTGTCATCGGATCATTAGTGATTTGCTCAAAAAAATGGTGAAAAAATTAAAAAAAAAGGTGCAATAGTATCTAGTTCCGCTAAAAAAGAAGTATGGTACCGAATTATAAACAGTCTATACAACATTTTCTCAAATTTTTGTAAAAATCGGTGAGTTTTGTATATACTCAAATTTTTCCTTCAAAGACAACTTATTTGACTTATGCAACTTCTCATACATTTTCCCGTAAATACTGTTGCCTGTCTACAGTTTAAGCGATAAAAATATATAATAATAATAATAATAATAAATTAAAGTTTTACTTGTTTTACGAATCCATATACTTTTAATAAAACTATATACTTTTTAATTACGAATTCTATTAAAAATTGTATTGTCAGTATATGCAAAAATAGTCCATTAGTACATAAATGAATTGGCGCTGCTGTCACGCACGGAGCGAATAAAATATGATTACTACCTGCATTAACTGGATTATCAAGCAATTTTTCATGGAACGAGATTCTGAGTACTATGGGGAGGGGGGGGGGGTCCATCAACAAAGTGAAATATTTAAGATAAGACTGTTTCTATCAAAAAAATAATTTACTGGATACGTCACTGATCAATGGTAATTTAGTGGATACGCCGCTGAACAAGGGTACCTACCACTCGAGGTGATAATTTTTTGAGATAATTTTGTTTCCTTGGAAATTTGCATAAAAATAAAATATTTTCTATATAAAAAATTGTTTTATTTTTTACAGGATTATACTACTATTGTAGGTTTTAGAACTTTTAAAGTTGATGGCCGAAGCTCACAGATTTCAGACATGACAGGGTATTTTGGGGTCAACATTTTCTTTAGGTTCAATTAATAAGAATAATCATTAAAACTGAAAACAAAAATTAAAATAACAAATATATTTTAAACACAAAATAAGTATGTAATTATTACTTACCTACCATAGGCGCAGAAGATTGTGGGTGGGAACAACATTTTTATTAGGCGCTTGTTCCTAATTTTTTGATCGTCCTACAAGATTTGAAAGTTGTCATTTTTTATTATTTGGTTACAATGACGACCGCATATTCATTTACGTTTGTAGACAAATAAAAAAAAAATAAATACAAAAAATGATTTAATTTAATAAGTCCCCAGCCCAGATTTTAGTTTTAATACTCGTAATTAAATTAGTTTCATATAGTTTGATTAAAATTGAAGATTTATTTCAAAATGTGAACGAAATACAAATACAAATGCTATTATTTATCGATTATACACAAAAATAATGTATATTTAATTTCAATAACTGAAAAATTTATTGACACTTGGGTGACCAAAATATGAATTGTGATTGGTGTATTTAATTTTTTTGCAATGTTCTCACTACCAAGAATGGATATGAAATATA